CCACGGTCCGGCTCTGAGGCATCCTGCGGCATCATCTGCGGTATTGTCAATTGCAATAGGGTCGATGCCACAATGCTCCGGATTAGCCAGTTGAAGTGTTTGGTAGCGCCAGGTGCTATTCTGGCGCACTTGGGTTCTCACTCACCTCCTCCACCATCCGGCTCCAGCAATAACTTCGCCACCACCAGCCCAAGAGACACCGAGGAACTGCCAAAAAAGCAAAGCGTGACGAGGCGTATTCGGGCTCAATGATAGAGTTCAAGGCGGGGAAATGAGGCGTTAAGTGCGGTACCTGTCTCTCCCTGCTTAACTTGGCAAGCATTGCCTCTTATGTGGCGCAGGGACCAGACCCTTCAAGAGCTTCCTTCTCCTTCTACCAATGGCGAGAGGGCATCGGGCAGGTGATCTCTGAGCAAAGGCGAAGGGAACTACAATCTGTAGTCGGCTGATAGCCATCGTTTGCGCCAGGCGAGGGATCTTCTCAAGCCCAGCATTAGCTCCAGGTTATGAGCAACTCGGTCTGCACACCCATTCATTGCTGGCTTCCAACCACCTTACCCCTCACGCCAATGTTACCCCATACTGGCTACTGGGAAACGCTATCAATTTTTGTTTGTGAGTAGGATTATCATGCCCGAAATCTACTTGGCTCCTGATCAACCGCTCGAGGCTGGCGCGCAAGTCAAAACTGCAAACCAAGAAAGCCTACCAACCTCTTCGCGTTGGCGCAGTCACCGGACAGGCTGATATCTCCTCGCTCTATTGCTCGAGTAAGACCCGCTGATGCTTCTCTAGGGTATCTCTGTTCCCTCACGGTAACGACGAGTGTTTTCGGCCCCAGCAGTTCGTTTAGGTCAAGAGCCTACTCAAGCCTTACTCGGTCATCGCTGACCATCGTGACATGATCAGTGTTACCACTGGGATCCGTCACAGCACCTCCCGCAGCGATATGATCCACTGCATAGCAGGATCCGGGAAATTTTGGTCCATACGGGCAATATTTGCCCGACTGCATGCATTGGCGCACCGCGTCGTCTGCTACTATCGTCCGGGTAACTCTGGAGTAGTCTGGTTGGACCCTCTTTTGATGAGCTGGCAGACTAAAGGATACATCGCCATCTCCCTGGGGCCGAAAGGAACAGGAAAGAAGGATGTACTGTTACCGCAGCTTCATCATTCTTGGCGAACCCCCCAAAATATCGGGATGGATCGCCCTGGCCCGCTGCCCCTCCAGACTAGATCATTGTCCCGGCTCTCTGGGTAGCTTGGCAATTGCTGCCCGTGGCGTGGAATCCGGCTTGACCGAGAGATGCCCATCTTCATTGCGTTACCTTGAGCATTCCGTTTGTTGGTGATGTCGGCGCTGTGCTGTCCAATGGAACGGCGGCTTTTCCATTTCGTTGCGGTGCACACAGTGCGTTGGTAGCACCGGTTCCTCTGCTGCTCTATCGCAGATACGGGTGAGCTCTGATGTTCATTGCATCCGGATGTCAGTAACCGGGTTCCATTTGCCTCGATATAGAGCCAGCTGCTTGTTGCCAAGCCCGTCTGTGTCACACTTCAGTCTGCCTTGATCCGGGGTCCAGAACTAGGAAATCGGGTTTCTCCGACACCAGAACGGCTTCGGGTACCATCATGCTACATGGAGCATCTGCTACAGTTCTACGCCTTGCATTATGCTATTCTCACGGCTCCGAGTTTTCAGCTCTGTGTGAACATTGAGTCATTCAAGTCCGATATGTAACGTCTACTTGATGCAACGCTGGAGCTTCCTGACGAGTACCAGGGAATGACAGGCACTCACTATTTCGTTAAGTGTATCTCCCTATCTGTGTGGCGTTGTCCTGCGCAGTAACAACCCTGTGTCAAGCGAAGTTGATGGCTGCTTCGCGTGCATTGACTATGTGCCAGTTCCATGCTTACTGCAAACTGAGCTGCCTAGGCTTGCAATTTGGGTTACACGTTGAAAATGGTCAAGCCTTTGATCAATGGCCACATCCAGAGCACCAATTTGATAATGTGTCGGTGAAGAAACTGGGACTCATACGCAGTGTAGCGTCAAGTCACTGCAAGTTGCTCGCTAAAGACGAGCCGCAGTACTTGATTACATGGAGCGTATGAAGTGTAGGTACAGTGTCACACGGGACGCCATGTTATCCTGCCGCCTTGCATTGGACTTGACGTAACCCGCAAATCTCTCCTGCTGGGCTTCGAGCAGGCATCCTTGGTTTGCGCGGGTGGAAGGAGGCAACTTGAGGTGCTCCAAACCGCCGAGTTTGAAGCACACCGGCTCAGGAACATGGAATTTTGGCTCAGTCCAGACTTTCTCGTCTGCGAGCTTGTCGGCAAAAGCGAAGCGAAGCGAAAATCATCAGTCATCCCCTCGTTCACCGCATCCCCGCGGATAGCGTCCGGAGCAGGGTCATACACAAGACGCGTACAAATGCAAAGCGCCGGCGTCGCGTCGATCAGTGCATGCAGTCGCGCAGGGTCCACGATCCCCTCATGCATGACGGTGCGCCCCAATTGGTAGTCCTGGCCGTCCGCGGAACGGTTCTTGACGCAAGCCCCGGCTACCAAGAGCGGTCCGCATCCTGTGGCTCATTGAATCAACGGCGTCGGTGCTGCCACGTAGGGTATGCCTGGCGCCACCGCATGCTACCTCGGCGGCAAGGTTGTGTGTGCACACACGGACGGTCGTCACCGTCGCCTAACGCAGACCCTTGCGCAGATAATTGATCGGTGGCTGCACAACTCAACGGCCCTGCGCAAATGGGGGGGCTCAGCAAGGCCAAAAAAAAAAAAAAAAGGTCGGATCATGGCCGTGATCGTCGCGACAGCCGGCTTGGCCTGTGCCTGTTCGGATCGAATCGTGGCTCGTCATTCGCGGCAGGAAAAAGAGACAAGGCCAGTGCGTGTCTAATTGAGTTGGTGGCGGCCCCGCGTCAGTGCCTGGGACAGTTCTCATTTTCTGTCCAGTCAAGACTAAGAAGCGAGTTTTCAACAGGGTTCGAAGAATAGACGAGCACATGATATCCCGCTCTGCTTCGTCGGTAGTTGGGGAAACGGGACAACTTTTGGTGTTGCGGACTTGATAGGCACGCACGCCCCCTTTTCTCCCGGTCGTTGTACACCTCTTTGTTTTTTCTTGTGACGCGTTGTGGGAGAACTGTGCTTTTACCGCGCATTCTCGTACTCATCATTAATTAGCCTTTGGTGTGCAATTCTAAAATTGTGCCTGCGATCTGGCGGCGTCACGAGAAACACGACGTGACGTCTGGCCGTCACGACGTATAATCCGCAGAGGAGGCGATACGAGTGACAAGGAAAAACGTCCGTGTCCTGTGTCCCTTTTCTCTGATACCGTATTATACGCGTACCCCTTGCCTATCCTGTCTGAAGTGATGCGCGGGTTGTCGTCGCTTCTCTTCGTCACGCTGTTTCCCCCCGTCTTCCCCTGCCCCAGCCGCCGCGACAATGCCTGTCGAATGATCGACGGGCGCTCTGTTTTTCCCTGAGCATTCTGTTTGAAATGGAAACTCGCAAAGAGACAATGATCCGCGCAGTGTCTCTTTTCTCACTTTTTGCTCGACAAGTTGACGCTGGGAACGGACATGATTTTTTTTTTTTTCGCTTCACTCCCACATCCGCCCCTCGCTGATGACACAATGTCTTTCCTGCCCGCCGCCGGGGAAGCGAGATTGGTTCACCGGGCCCGCGCGCAAGTCTCAGAGGCAGGGAGAAAAGAACAAGGGTTTTGTCGTCTGGTCTGTGAGTTGAAAATCAGTCCACTTTCAGACTGCTTGGAACCATTCTTTCGAGCGCGCTTTTGAGCCCCTTCGCGCTTTTTTCTAAGCGAGACATGGATGGGACGAAAACGTCCGGATTGGAAGAGAACCCCCCTGCGAGCTTCCGGGCCAAGTCTTTGCAGAGGACAACAAGGTTCTGCGTAGTAGCCCTAGGCGCAAGGGGGGAAAAGGGCCAAGAGGATAGTCTTGGCGATGGCGATTCCATACCAACACCCCGTTACCTCGGGCGTTGTTGTGCTTGGTATGTGGTTAACGAAATGGGGGAAAGAAACGCTACAGTGCTAAAGTTCGTTTAAATCTTGCCAAGTTGCGAGGTTGATGTTGCTCTGGGTATCGGACAAAAGTAGTAGGTGTCTATCAACTTCTTCTAGTGGCACTGCCAAGTCGGTCCAAACATGAGCCCTACCCATATTGAGAGAAACGAATCGTAGTTGCATTGTCGTTTCTCACTTATTAGTAAGCGCAGTCTAATAAAGTGAGTCTGTCATGAGTACCGGTGATGTTGATTCTTATTGTAGGAAGCCTTGGCTCCGACTTGCCATCGTATGGCGCCGAACGAAGATCGATGGGCGTTGGATGGCAGCGTTTAAATTGGCACGAGTATTGTCCATCGTATTGACTTTTTCATACTGTGAATGGCAATGTTTTTCGCTAGGCAAGCATTTCCGCAAATTCTATTGGGGAATGACAATGATTTGGTCGTCGGACTTGGAAATCGAGCATTGTGGGAGTTGACTTTGTCGTAGAGTTGTCTAATGGCGAGGATGCGGATATTGAGAAGTCGCTGCCGAGAGTGGACGGATGAGTGCAGAGTACTGAGGTAGGTTTATGTACAATATTTCGTTTTTCTGTTATCAAAACTTAAAGAGTGTAATTGTACTGATTTTTAGATCTTTGATCTTTGATCTTTGAACAGTGTATCTGGCGTCAACAAGTTGTAGACTTTGTAACAGCTGATTGTACGGGTAGGATATAAATGTTCAAAGCTGTAAAGCAGAAGGAAACCAACGCCGAAGCCCTTGAGATTTTGTCTATAGCTCAATATGATATGCTGATGTTGTACAATGTTGTTCTTTTTGCTTATCCCGCAAATTTCCACACAGCCCTCGTTGCTGTTGTATCGTCCATGTCGAATACAAACCCCCTCCAGATTACCCTCCAACTGCAAAGCAAGCCCCTCATCCGCCAAGATCATGCCTGCTCTTCCAGCCAGCGGGGCAGGTGAAACTTGACATTCTCGTAGACCAAGAACGTCACCCACGTCGCCGGCATGACGCGCACCACGCCCGGCAGCAGCCCGCGATAGAAGCCGCGCGCACCCTCCTCGCGCCATATCCTCGCCACCACCGCGCGCGCACCGCGGCCGAAGCGCTCGTCGGCCGCGTACCCCTGCAGACGGCTTCGGACCACCTGGTAGGGGTACGTCACGGCGCCCGCGACCAGCTTCGCCGCGCTGGACAGGGCGACCACCGCCTCCGGGCTGAGCGGCGCCGCCGCGGCGTCATCGCGGGTGGTGATGGTGGTGGTGGTGCGGCGGCGCGCAAAGTAGGCGCGCTTCAGCGGCTCGTACACGGCAAACTGCACGGCGCCGTGGGACACGCCAATGAGGGACACGCCGAGGCCGCGGTAGAAGCCGCGCGGGCCGTCGGCGCGCAGGATGGCGCGCGCGCCGGCGAGCATGGACGGGTAGGCGCCGCGCGCGGAGCGGTCGGAGGAGAGCATGCGCGTCTTGAGGACCCAGACGGGGTTGGTGAGGATGGAGGTGGCGGCGCCGGCGAGCGCGCTGGCCACGAAGTAGTCACCCGGGGTCGGTGCGTCGGTGTCGGGGTGCCGCTGGAGGAGCAGCCGCTCGAAGCGCGACTTGAAGAAGAAGAAGGAAGCCCAGCTGGTGGCGTTGCCGACGAGGTTCGGGGTGAGGCCCCGGTAGAGGGAGGCGATCGGGCGCGGGGTCGCGGTGAGGGAGCGGAGGAGGCGGGCGGTGGTGGGCGGCTTGGAGAGGGGATCGCTCACGCTGCGGTAGACTGCGGCAAGGGTGGAACGGGTTAGCCGGGATGGTTCTCGCATGGGAAGTGGGAAGGGAGGGTCAGTCGCATACTCTGCATGCGCGTCTTGACAATGTCGAGGGGATGCACAACCAGCGTCGCCACGGTGCCGGCGCTGAGGCCGGCGATGGACTCGACGACTGCGGGAGGGAGGCCCGCATGGCTAGGGTCGGACATGTACGGCCGAGGCTGCTCTTTTTCTCTCAAAGTCGTGTAAGAAGGGAGTGGCGCCTCGGTCAACTCATGGTGAGGCTTTTAAAGGTCGAGAAGTCGGGAGGTGGTTGCGGACGGATGTGCGAGATTGGAGTGTCAAAGGTCGGTCATAGAATGCTAGAATTATTTTTTTGGGGCGCCGCCTGTCGGACCTTCGGCCGCGGCTGGAGACGGCTTGATCCGCAAAGCAAACAGCTAGTACAAGACCCGGGATATGCCTAAGTTCAACGCAATTACTGGCAAAACAGAAAAAGAAAAGACTGCTTTGTTTTTTCTTTCCTTTATTCTAAAAGCAACTGTAAGCGTATGATTAAAGCTCAAGAAAGCTACCAATAGACGGCGGAGGGAAAACAGTCCCCAAGTAGCACGGAGACATGACCGACAGCATTCACGGTTAATGTAATTGACATTTTAAAATATTATTTCATGTTGGTACAAACACAGGGCGACAAGGCAACGCCCCGTTGCCTTCCGACATGGCGCATGTCCCTATTGCGTTACGGAAACCTCAAAGACATCCCAACACCAGAAAATGCCCAGTATCAACGCGTCCATTTTTTAACCTCTATATCGTCATTGCTTTGATCGTGTCGTCGGGGTTATGTGTTTTGCGGTGGTGAGTGATTTGATATTGTACAAGGCGGATGAAAGGGATTGGCCATCCCTGAGCTCGATTGTCATTTAGGAGAGGGGAGAGATGAGGCTGCCTAGATGTTAATCATATGTCGCCGAAGAATCGCAGGCATGTTTCAAGGTTCTTTCTTCATACCGGATCAAAGAGGGCTTGGGGTCGCTGCGGGTGTAGCCTGTATTGGTCAGTCAAGTTGTTCGTCGCGAAGTCAGCCAGCCAATCGTCGTACCGAGGTAGAGAATCAAGGGGAGGTAGCCACTGCAAGACATGTTAGTTAGAGAGCAAAAGCAGTCGAAGCGAAAACGGGGAGAGGCAACGTACTAGTGAACAGCGACGCGGGAAATATCAATGAGCTTGCCAATGCGCTCCTATTCGGGGTGGAAAAGGGTCAGTCAGCGGAGGAGCTTGCGGCGAGGCATGCATTGTGGCGGGAACAAACCTTGGACTCTTCAGATAGGGTGAACATATTGGCGACTGTGAATCGGCTTCGAAAATGACGAAAGGGTTTAATAATTGAGGGAGAAATCGGGTGCGAGATGGCGAAGCGTTCAATCGTGGTTGGTGGATGGGAGCGCTGGAAATTTTGGCGCAGAGTGACGGCTCTACTTTTTCGGACGGATCAACCCCGGCAGAACCCGCGCATCAACCATCTCCAGCTTCAACCTCGAAATTTCCAACTTTAGCCAACAGCGCATCCTGCAAGCTCAACTCCTCTCTCGACACCTCAAACGGCAACTCACGAAACCACCAACAGGATCCGAACCTGCGTCGATCAATTCCACAAAACCCTAGCTCGATACAAAGAGAGAGTCTTCTCTCTCCCAGGCGCAGATCAAGATGGCGCAAAACAGGCACTGGTACGCCGGTCTCCCTCTCTCCTTCCCCCATCCCCTCCAGGCTAACCCACCCGCGCAGGGAGCAGGACAAGGACGCCACCATCTACATGGGCAACATTGACGAGCGCGCCACGCCCGCCATGATGTACGAGATCATGCTGCAGATGGGCCCCATCCACAACATCCACATGCCTCGCGACCGCGTCACCCAATCCCACCAGGGCTTTGGCTTCGTCGAGTTCCGCGCCCCCGCCGACGCTGAGTACGCCGCGGCCGTCATGAACGGCATCAAGCTCTTCGGCAAGTCCCTGCGCGTCAACAAGGCCTCCGCCGACCGCTCCCGCACCGGCCCCGGCGGCGGCCCCGGCGGCACCACCGAGATTGGCGCGGAGCTCTTCGTCGGCAACCTCGACCCCGCCGCCGACGAGCGCGTCCTCTACGACACCTTTTCCCGCTTCGGCCCGCTGCTGTCGCTGCCAAAGGTGGCGCGCGACGACGCCGGCGTGTCAAAGGGCTTCGGCTTCGTCAGCTTCGGCGACTTTGAGAGCGCGGACGCGGCGCTCGAGGGGCTCGCGGGCCAGTACCTCCTCAGCAACCAGGTCACGGTGCAGTACGCGTTCAAGCGCGACGGCAAGGGCGAGAGGCACGGCGACCAGGCGGAGCGCGAGCTCGCGGCGCAGGCTAGGAAGCGCAACGTCCTCCCCGAGGCCGTTCCCCTCCCCCCGGGCTTCCTCAACCCGCCTCCCGCCGCCGCCGCGCCGCCGGCGCAGCAACCCGGCAGCAACGGCTCCCTTGCTGCGGCGCCATCCACGACGCCGCAGCCGCCGGCAGGTTTTGTAGTGCCGCCGCCGGGCATGCCGCCGGGCATGCACATGGGCGCTCCTCCTCCCGGCTTCGCCCCGCCGCCCCGCGGGCCCTCGCCGTACAGCAACAACAACGCCGGGCAGGTACCGCCACCTTCCTCTGCCGGCCGTGGCGGCGCTCCCCTACCGCCTGCGCCGTCGGGTTTGCCCGCGCGCCCGCCCCAGAGCCAGGGCGGCTACAACAACCCGGCCGACTACCACCCGAGCGGCGGCAGCGGCAGCAGCTACCGCGGCGGTGCGCCTGCCCCGCCTCCCCCCGGCTTCCCCGGTGCGCCTCAGCAGCAGCAGCAGCAGCAGCCTCCTCCTGGGTTCGGCGCGCCGGGCAACGGCGCTCCTCCGCCGCCGGGCTTCTTACCGCCGCCGCCGGGCTTCCCGCAGCAAGCCCCTCCTGGCTACCCCCGTCGATGAGGGCGGCGCATTTTCTACACACTGGCTCGTCCACCATTCTACCGACGAAGGAAATACAAAAACATCACGGCGTTTCACGTTTTTCGGATCAAACGGGCAAAGGATCACGGCTTTGCTCTTTCATTATGCATAGGAAACAACGGGAAGGCGTTTACTGGCTTTTTATTTGGGAACTGTCAAAGTAATATCAGATTTTGTTATTGTTCATTTCAGCGCCTTGTTGGTAATTTGTACAAAACAAATGTGGAATAAAAAACAACAAGAGGATAGTATTTTCATGGTATATAAATTTGTCCTCGACCCATCATCATCGTGCTTTGCTATACAACCCTCACTCTCTGCTGTGCGTCACTCCCAAAGTCCGATCTTGTATAATTCCCGCGACAAAGGACACCTTGAAACGCCAAACAACAAATTTCACACCCCCGTGTACTCCTCCGCAACAAATAAAAACTGATATTTAAATAGTACACATATGCCAAAGGATAATATAGGATGCGTCCTCTCTTTTCATCTCTTCACGGCCACGTCTCTCTTCTCAGCCTCTCTTGAATGCTCTTCTCGCCTCCATCGTTGCCTTCTCCCACTCCATCCTCGACTCCTCCCGCTGGCCCTGCACGTCGTACGAGTGAGCCAGCATGCCGTCGGCCACACTCTGCCAGAGGACGTTGCCGCTTCGCTGAGCCTGCTTGGCCGCCGCGCGCGCGCTCTTCAGTGCTTGGTCACCTATGACGTTTTCAAAGAAGCGGCTGCGCATGATGCAGAGCGTCACGGCCGAGCCGACAATGTTGCTGGTGACCTTGGAGCCGCCCATGGCCGCCTGGATGTGCTGCTTTTGCTGGCTCAGCTGCTGCGGCGGATCGGTCACCAGGGCGGCCATGACATTGTGCCACGCCGTGCGCAGATCAATGTTCCAATGGCTGTTGCAAAGCGGCTGCAGCTGTTCAATCAGATCGACCGTCTCCCGGTCATTGCGGCATGAATCGTGCTGCATTATCCAGAGTCGGTTGAGGCCTGCCAGCATCGCAACTTCCTGCTCGCCGGCTTTCAGGCCGTGGCTTTTTCCGAGAGGCTCAGTAAAGTTCTCGCCCTGGAATATGTCGAGAGCAGTATGTAGCTCGCCCAGGCCCTGGTGGTAGACACCTGATAGGTAAACAGACAGTAGCCTCAGAGTCGGCTGCGATTCATCGGATAGTAAGCCTTCCAGCCTATCCAAGTGCTCTTTAACTGTGGCCCATCGACAGTGTGTGGCTTCCAGTAGCCCGAGCATGACTGTTATGTATGCCTGTCCCTCGGTTCGCCACTGTCGCTGCTTAATCGCCGTTTGTAAAGACACCGGTGGCCCGTACGGGATGCCCAGTGTAGATTCATCCCACGTCTCCAGAATCTTATAGCCCTCGAGCCAGAAATCTGCAGACTTTGATGATTGCTTGTGTAGGAAAGAAAGTCCGCTGAACATGAAACTAAAGTAGTGTTAGTATAGCTCATCTGATGACCGGTTGGCATTACTCACATGAGAGATCGTAGTTCAATTTTCGTCATGAAAGTAATGACCAAGTTGTCGGATTCCGCGGTGCCGTTTCCGGGGTCAACAATAGACGCCGTATCCGGGCCAAGTATGTTAGAGCTGGCAGCCTGCTTTTTGATAGGCACCATGAAGTCCGCTTTGACATTGTTCCAGTTATCGCAATCATCAACCTTTTTCTGTAGTTCCCGCAGCTTTGCCGATGTGGCATCAGGGTTCTGGTGGTGTAAACTGGCGGCGAAGTCCAGCAGAAGAACCAGAATATCTAGTTGTGTAATCCGGATGGCAGGGTCGAATTGAAACTTGGCAGCTTGCGCAATACAACTTTGCACCTTTTCAATGCTACCATCCTTAGCGGTCTTGAGCAGCGCAAGGCCTTCGAGGACAGAGGCGAATATGCTGAGTGCTTTATCACCGCGGGTAGAAGCCACATTTTGGATAGCCCGTATGTTTTCTAGGGCAGAAGCATCAGAGGCGTTACCCATTTCCATGTAAAAGGTTGTCTTGAGCAGGCGGAAGGCGTAATACCAGGGCACATGCTTGAAGGCCTCGCAGTTGGAAATATGTCCGTCAACCGCCTTGAGCGCCGCTTTGTGATTTCTCTGGAACATAAGCTTCAGCATTGAATATTGCATGCAGTACTTGAGATCCATCATGCGATGCTTGTCGCATAGAGCGATGCCTTTGGTCAGGGCAGTCTCCGCTTCCATAATGTTTTCCGTCTCCTCGTGTAGTACAGTAGCGTAACGCAGACGGATTCGCGCTTCTTCCCGTGGTGCTAGGCGTGCGGTCTGCAGCATGCCCTCGAAGCAAGATAGGCCGGTGGATATTAACCTCTGATATTCTGACACGTCGTCGGGGTCCAGAAACATGGCCAGGTCATGCGCCTGCGATCGCGCCTTGCCAATGCATTCTTCCGCTACCGCTGCCATGATTGGGCCTGTGTTGACTGGGCGTTGCTTGTGCTGCGGCGCAGGTGAGCGTTTGGTGATGCTCGGCGAGCGAGCGACCGAGGGCGACTTTGGTGGCGGTGGTTTCGGGCTGGCTTTCAGCCAAGGCCTTGGCGGCTCGACCTTTGTTTCTTTGCGGGGCTTTGGCTTCGGCGGTTCTGGTTTCGGCTCCGGCTTGGGCTCTTCCTTAGGCTGCGGTATAGGCTCCAGCTTGGCCTCCGTTGTTGGCTCGGGTTTCGATTCCAGCTTTGGTGGCGGTGCGTTTGGCATTGGCACGTCTTTCTCTTCCGTTTCCGAGTCCTTCTTAATGGGGAGAGGGTCAAGAAGCGATTTTGAGAAGCCCAGCGTTAGATCACGAGGATCAATGCTCTGGAATTCCATTTCCGGCATAGGAGGCGGGGGCGGAATAGTCTGGATGTCTTGCAGGTTTACAAAGTGATATTGTTCGGTCTGCAGCTGCTGTTCAATCTGTAGTTGGTCTTGGGCCGAGTCTTGCGTGATGTTGGCCACGGCATCGATGTTATCTAGCTCATCGGGTATCGTTTGGGGTTGAGGCTCCGGCTCAATCTCTAGCTCTGGCTCAGGCTCTGGTTCTGGTTCGGGCTCGAGCTCGGGCTCTGGTTCGGGTTCGGGCTCCGGGGGCAAGTACATCTGTTGCGGTTGTACGTGCACGTGGTGATGTGGTTGCGTTTGCTGCGGCAGTTGTGGGGTCGTCGGCGTTTGCGGTGTCAATGACTGTCGCTGCTTCTGCAACTGTTGCTGACTTATTATATGCGGCGATTGCTGCAGTTGGGGCGATTGGGCCATTTGCGGCGACTGCATGTGCGGCGACTGCATGTGCGGCGATTGCAGGTGTTGGCGATAGGCGTGCTGAGGTTGTGGTTGGTGGTACTGGTGCTGTTGGTGTTGCATTTGACCCTGCGCGTTCGCCGGGAGGGCGTGATGAGTCTGAGGAGTCAGAGGCGCTTGTCGTGGCGTCAACTGTCGTGGCTGCGGCGATGGCTGCGGGATAGGAGACTGAGAGATTCGTCGCTGGTACTCGTGGATGTGTTGAGCCGGTATCGACGGCTGTCGAGGGCGGGGTGAAGGTCGCGACTGGTTGTGTATTTGCGGGGAGGCGATGGAGCTGTTGTAGAGCTGGGGCGATTGTTGCTGCGTATGGTGCATCTGTTGAAGCTGCTGGAGGTGCTGCTGCTGCGAGCGCTGCTGCTGCATCACTGTGGCCTGCATCTGCGACGGCATCATTGCGTGTTGGACGGACGGTGATTGGGATTGGCGCCAGACATCGTTGGACTGCGCAAACTGCCTGGCATCATGCTGTTGCGGTGGCTGCTGATGCTGCTGCTGCTGTTGATGTTGGTGTTGGTGTTGGTGTTGCTGCTGTTGCCGGGGATGCTGGGGGAAGCCTTGTTGTTGGAGGCCGCCATGATACATGCCGGCGCCCATTGCGCCAGCTCCGGCGGACGCAAACTGTTGCATTTGGGCGGCGTGCTGCTGCTGCGGTAAGCGTTGCTGTTGCTGTTGCTGTTGGAAATGCTGCTGCTGCTGTTGGAACTGATGATGGTTCTGCTGTGGCTGATGCTGCTGGCCATACTGTCCCTGCTGCGGCTGGTAGAACTGGGCGTGGCTCATGCCGTTGGCGTAGAGGCCGTTGGCGTTGTGATGTGAGCCGTTTTGCTGGGCAAACTGATGCTGCTGCGGCTGCTGCGGCGGCTGCTGCTGCTGCTGTTGCTGCTGCATCTGATGATGCTGGCCATGATATTGGTGCGGCTGTTGATAGGCATATCCAGCCTGCTGGCCGGCCGCGGCGCCACCTCCGCCGGGATACACGTCCCCTTGGCCTGGATAGCCTTGGCCGGGCGGGAGCGCGCCTTGGTATGTCATGATGGCCCCAACATGAGCCGGCCGGTGAGGATCAATTCGTCGGGCGGTCGGGTTCACACTGTTGCGCTCAATTTTATCGTCGCGTTCAAGCCCCTAGCTGCATCGCCGTGTCGATCGCAGGTGGACGGGGGGGGGGGGTTTGCGTCGTGGTGGTGGTGCCACCGCAGACGGCGATTTCTTTGTCGCGTCGTCCGGCAAGGCGATGAGGGATGCAAGGACGGTTCTGGCTTCCTGTTGATTCTCGATCGCGCCGCGCCCCGCGTCTATCGCAGCTCGAGTTGTCGTTGGATTTTTCGGCGGATGGGATGGGATTGGGCGAAAAAGAGGACAGCCCCTACGACAAAGGTTGAGCGCAAGGAATGAGGTGGCGCTGGGCCGGTACTTTGACTTTGGCTGCTGAGTGCTTGCCTGGGCAGGTCACTGGCTAGCACAAAGGAAGAAGGGAAAGGGACGCGGAGTGGCCGTGTGTCGCGGAATTTGGCAGCGCCACGGATAGATAGAGATGATGATGCTATATTTTCGCTGGGGATGCGGTGAGACGTATAGTTTCAGGTTTTTTTTCACTTCTATTTTTGTTTTTATTTCGATTTCCTTGATAACACTCAAGCCGCTTGTCGTGCATTGTGTCCGAGTGGCACACGCCTCTTTCCATCACTAGTTATCCTGCCTTATGACTTCGGCGCCCCCGTGACAAGGCTGTACAGCGAGCGGTCGCGTCGTACATTCATCATCATCATTATAATTATTATTGCTATTAGTGCGTCATGGTATCATGTAACATGCATCGGGTTCACTCAAACTCTACTAGAACATGGAGGGCGTCGTCTGCATTAGTACATCAAGTCACTAACCTTCACCTCAGTATATCATCCCCGGTGGCCAAGATGCGAGTCAAGGGCCCAAGATAAAAGCGTTTCACACTACGCATGCTATTGGTGCTGGAAACCCTAACTTGGCCGGACCCGATGTGCCCATAGTTTTTCCCTTTCTACCCTGAAATAATGATTAGAGGGATTGAAGGAAATTTTCAATGACTTGCATTCTGGCTGCCCCATGGTCGTTCTGCACGGCGTCGGAAATCTCCAGGGTAGGCCTTGTTGCGGACTGGCGAATCCAAAACGGTAGTTCAGAAAGGTTCAAAAAGGACTGCTATACGGATAATAGACTGAGCACCAATGGTTGAAAGTGAAAAGAATTGGCATTAATAAAAAAACTATTCATAACATGTCATGCCGGCCCATACTCCCCAACTATTGTTACAAGATTCATCAAAAAAAGCATTCTAAACACAAGGCTTCATTCATCAAACGTCTTGATCCTTTTCTTCAAAATAGTCGAGTCGTTCATCGCGAGCTTAAATTTTTCCCGTATGTGCCGCAACTCCGGGATGATGCAGGTCGTATCCAACATGGCAAGAAACGAAAAAAATAAAATAAAAAAAAATCACAAATCAAAAACCGTAAATCAGGATTTGGCAGCTCTGTTCGGCTAACCATCCTTATCCAACGCAGTGCCATTCAGCAAATACACACCAGCGAGCTGTCCGATCTGCCAGCACAAGACCTCTCCAAATGCCCGTCTCAGAGCACTTGATAATGGTCTCCCATGTGCCGCCGTCACTCATCTCGTCGTCGTCGCGTCCGGTAACCGTGATGCCTTTGCGGTCCTCCTTCCTCATAAGACGGAGAATCTTGCCGCCCGGCGTTTGGATAGCCAACTTGGCTGGCTTGTGGCCCGCCACAGTGCCGCTCGCCGAGCTAGGGTTGGAGCCGTTGACACTCGAGGCCGCCGTCATGCTCATAGCTGAGCTTGGACGCGCAAAGGGGTTCGGGCTGGTCCGTCCAGGGTTCGAAGATGGTGTCAAGCTTGATTGGAATCCGGCAGCCGACAGGCATGGATGCTGACGAATAGCAAATACAAATGTGTTGTTCAGCGCTAATCTCTGGCACTGTGGCTGCACAATGTAAATATCGTTGCGTTGTGCGTGCGGTGTCGGGTGCCGCGTCACAAACTGATATGGGGGGTTTTCTCCAGTATGGATGATAGGCAGTGCAAAAGCCAATGGGTGTGGTACATCTTTAATGCTGTGCATTAGCCCTCGTGCACCCGCATACACCTTTAGTACTCCCTGACCCTCGTCACCAGGGAGCAGCGCCTTGACCGTGTATCTCTTCACACCGCCGTACCACTCCGCCTGCGCCAATGCTCTTGTCTTGACCACCTCGCCACTCTCAAACACGTCGCCGTCATAGTCTTGTGAGTAAGCACGGGTCTCAATTTCCGCTACGACCTCAATATCGGCCGGAACGTTCACCTTCAGGTGAACCATTTCCAAGTCCTCGATTCTTGTTGAAGATGTGTTGTAGTCTACCATTTCGACTGCATCCTTAAAGAAGGTAGGGCAGACACAAGGGAGGTTGAGCAGAATTTCATGTGCCACTGCTGGCACAATGTGCTGCTGTTCATGATGTTCTGGCACATGCGTCCAGCAGAGCTCCGAAGGTCTAGTAAGGAACCACCAAGGCTCCGCCACATTGCTGTTCCGGGTCGAGTATTGAGCTCGCTTCGGGTTTGACGGGCTGGCCAGGCAGCAATCCATCATGCGCCACTCATTGTCCACAAGCACCGCATTCCACCAGTGATTTGGACGCGGCACTATGGTGCTGTCTATGATCTCCCCAGGTGCCTTGAGGTATCCTCGTACCACTTCACACCTGATGCCGACAGCCAAGCACATCTCCATGACAAGTACTGCATACTCCTCGGCACACCCACGTCTCGATTGAATGACTTCGCGTGTGTTGATGTCACCCTCAAAGTCTTCTTCCCAGACAATCTTCTCGCTCACCCATGTGAAGACCGCTCGTAGTCGCTGTACCTCGCTTCGGTAAGGTCTGCAGACGTACGTAGTAGCCAAAGAAATCGCAGTCGTCATCGGCGATGCTTCGTTGATGAATCGCGAGTTCTTGTCAACTTGTGTCAGATTGATAGATTGGTAGTTCAGCGCATCAAGGACTGGGTTTCCATCTGCCGCTTCGTCACCCTCAATACTTTCATAGAGCTCGTCGATGGGGTTCAGAGCCGGATGATCCTGTATCTGGCAACGGTCTCGTCGCTCTGCTCGCTCAATCTTGCTTAGAGAATTTGATCTGTTGATGTCGCGGCGTACTTGGACCCAATCGATGGGCCCGGCGCCCATTTCTCGAGCAGTATCCAAGTTGGAGCGCATGCCCGTACGAGCTGAACCCATCGCTCCGCCGCCATGAGGACGGTTAAATGGAGAAGAACTGCCCGGCTCATGTCCGATACCACCCGCAAGATTGCCGCGATTATTGGCAACGCCCGTTTTGGCGGATTCAAAAATCTTCTTGAAAATATTGCGCTTGGGGGCCTTCGGCTGCACCAGCCCACCCAATCCAGCAGACGGGTCTTCGTATACAGCTTGCGACATTGGCCTGGCCGCGCCACTGGCATTCGTGGCATGGCTGCTGTGGTAAGAGACACCGGTGAATGGTGAGTCTGGCCGTTCGTGATCCATATCTCGCATGCCCAGCGCGCTTTGCGTTCGTTGATGGTGGTTTCTAGCCATGCTTCCGGCGCTTGTTGAGCTGAAGCCGCTGGCTGATACGCCACTCCACAGCGTTCTACCGCTGCTTTGGGTTGCATAGCTAGTATTGCTTTGGTTGCCAGAGGATGAGTTTGTTGTATTCGTCTTTGTCGTGTATGTGCGCCCGATGGCATCTTTATCTCTCATATCATAACCCGATTTGTGCGACTTCAATGCCCTTTCAGGCCCAGTACGGTCTGCGGCTGAAGAACTCGGTCGCGTGTAATGCTGATTCTTCGGCGGCGGCGGCGGCGGTCCATCCGTCTCGACAGCCGGCACGCTTTTGCTGTGTTGATGCATTTTCTGAAACCGCTTCTCCATTCTTTCCACATAGTTGCTTAACTGCGGTAGCTCGGGTTTTTCTTCTCTTTGGTTGCGCTTATACCCATCGACTTGAGAAGATTCACCGCTCCATGTCTCGTAGCCCTCGTCAGATTGAGCGATACCCATCGAGGTTCGCGGTCTTCCAAGCTCAGGTTCGTACGCTCGTGGCGCGCGAGATTCTAGTCCAAAACTCTCGGGTGCCCATGGATCAATGTCGGCTTCTGGAGATTCTCCGCATCTACTTCCCAGCCCTTCCAATTCGTCGAGCTGCTCCATTACACCATCCATTGCCTCGCGGAGTGGCGACGGTGTCATTCCGTGGCTGCCAGCAGGGGAGTTCTCCATGTATGAGCCAGTTCTTCGTGGCGTACTATACTGATCAGCATGAACATCATAGCGTCGGCCGTCATAAGACGCGTTTGATGCGTGTCGTTGGAAGTCATCCGGCTCATGGTACGAAACTTGCGACCCATTGCGCGATAATTGAGGAGGTTGTTCTTGGTAAGTAGTCACCGAACCATGCCTAGACAGAGCAAGGGGAGGTTCGACGTCAGCAGAGCCAGCTCTTGCAACGTGCTTGTGCGGCGGGGGTGGCGGGGGCTGTGACTGCTGTTGTGTGTATGCGTTTGCCGCGGGAGGCTCCGGTCGGCGGAATGAGGGAGCGGGCGACACGGCTCTAGGATCGTAAGGTCTTATCCGTGGCGGCGAAGGGGTATGTTCCTGCCTGAGGACCGTGGCGCCACTCTTGGCTCTTGCGACAGCGGCGGAGGGAGCTGGAGGCTTGATTGGGCTCGCTGACTTCGCGGCGGGCTCTTCTTTGAATGTAATCGGTGTCTTTGCGCTCGTGTAGTGAGGAGCCTTCGCGTAGGCCTCAAACGGGCGTCGGAAGGGTTTCGATCTCGATGGACTCGGGGCGATGCTGGGTGGCACAGGGCTGACGGATCGGTTCGCAGACGGTCGGAATTCTTCTGGTAGGACTGTGACGAAGTTGGAAGGGAAAGAGCCCACAGTTCGGCGGTCACGATACAAGCGGCCGGTCCACCAGGAGCCATCTCCGGCGTTGAGGCACTCGATTAAATCTCCTTCTATGAATCCGAGATCACGTTTTCCCTGTATAAATGTCAGCATTGAGTGCGCGCGCTGTATCGGGGGTGACAGACCTCTCCTCCCCAAGAGTAAACGGCCCTGCACCAGCAAGGGAATTGCGTGGGCAGCGGTGGCGGCGCTGGCACCATTGTAGCGATGCTATCAAATTGTGTCGTAACGATATTCGTGGATGATTGCGAATAATCAGTTGAGGTTGGGCAAGCGGAAACGGATGCTGCTGTGTCACGCTCCGTTGGCTGATATTGCGTTCTGATATCGGGCAGCGGTTCAAGGCAAGGCGTTTGTCACACGGTGGGCGAAGACGGCAACTCAACCAGGCATGTTGATTGAGAGATTGTAGTCGCACCAGGGAATAAGGGAGAAAATCAAGGCACTGATGAAGAACAGGAATGGACGGTGAACTGTCTCTGGTAAGGAGAAGCTCATTTAGCCAGGATTCAGAGTCGCCCAGCTTCCGTAATTGGCTGGACGGAATGAACCAACGGCGTCAAGGAAGGCGTTAGTGGTTGATTCAGAGTGCTGAACAACAGAGGGGCAACCAGCTATGTTGCCAGGGCGACGCAGTGGCTTGGCAGCTGGAGAGCGCCTAACGGCAAAGCTCGCTCCACTGTAAGCCCGCTAAAAGGTCCTCAAATAGCCCTAGAAACGGTACTGCAGCAGCGGGCGTTTGCCTCACAAAGCCGCTAAAGCCACCTTTAGCGCACACCAATTGGGCTGCTGCAGGACGGCTGAGCAAACAGGGATACAGCGCTAGCAGGTATTTCGCCGCGATAATGTATGGTCGATTGGGTGTTGCTTGGCTCAGAAATACCCGACTGCCCCTGTACCTGTCCGCCCAGCTGCAGCCGACTGGTACCCGGTGACCACACCATTGCATACCAGACGTTGCTTTCACCTTATGTTACCTAGAAACCCCAGAGACTTGACCGAGAGGCCTACCCAAAAAGACATGTGCGGTGCTGCTATTCATCTAATCTTTGAATTCGTCTTGTCAACACCATGATTTTCATCTCGTGATACCAAGAAAAAGAGAAAGTTACCCTCACTCTGCCCTGATCGTCTCGCTCCCAAATTGAACCCCGCTGACGGACGTCACAGCTGTCCCAAAGCGGAAAATTATAAACAAAGGGCCCAAGCTTCGCACCCTTGCAGGCTGTCCCAGACAACCGTCATTTGCGCATCCGGGGTGCCTTGATAACCATTACGGTACCCTGCCACGCAGCCTCTCTTCTCCTTCCCTCCATCGAAAACCAACCTATCTCGACTCGACGGTTGCTGCGCGCGCATCGACTTCCGGCCGCTTCCTCCCAATCTTTGCCGCCAAGCTCAACAACCGTCGAGCGCCCTCACCAGCGCCTTTGTCGTCTGTAGCCCGGAACAGATTGAGCAAGGTCGAGCGTTGCATAGAATTCTGAGCAAGAATGGCCGACGAAGGACTTGCCGACCACTACCAGGTCTTGGAGGAATTAGGCCGTAAGTTATTGTTGCCACTGAGTCACGCGATGAATGCTAACAAGCCCTTCTTGCTCAGGGGGGAGCTTTGGTGTCGTATACAAGGGCATTGAAAAGGCAACCGGCGAAACAGTTGCCATCAAGCATGTAAGTTGTCCTACTATACCATCGCTGCAGCCATCTCCAGACTAACGGCGTTGTACAGATTGATCTAGAGTCCAACGATGACGACATTCAAGACATTCAAGCCGAGATTGCGGTACTGAGCACTTGTGCGAGTCCATACGTTACACAGTACAAAGGCTGCTTTCTGCGAGGGCACAAACTATGGATTGTCATGGAGTATCTTGGTGGCGGATCTTGCTTAGATCTGGTAAGCATACTCAACCGAGACATGGTATATGATTTGACTAACAATGTGACGTAGCTTAAACCCGCCAACTTTAGTGAAACACACATCGCCATCATCTGTCGAGAACTGCTGCTGGGCATTGGTTATCTGCATGATGAGGGAAAGATTCACAGGGATATCAAAGCTGCCAATGTCCTCCTCTCAGAGAGCGGCAAGGTTAAGCTGGCTGACTTTGGTGTTGCTGCGCAACTCAGCAATATCAAGTCACAGCGTAATACTTTTGTCGGTACGCCGTTCTGGATGGCGCCGGAAGTTATCCAGCAGGACGGCTACAGCTTCAAGGCAGACATCTGGTCGCTTGGTATCACAGCGATGGAGATGGCCAACGGCGAGCCGCCGCTGTGCCATATCCACCCGATGAAAGTTCTCTTCCACATCCCCAAGAATGCGCCCCCGAAACTTGAGGGCAATTTCAGCAGGGACTTCAAGGATTTTGTCGCTCAGTGTCTGACTAAGGACTACGATCGCCGACCAACCGCTCGGGAGCTTCTCCGGCACCGATTTATCAGGGCTGCTGGAAAGATTGAGGCGCTTCAGGAATTGATTGCCGCGCGCCAGATGTGGGATGCCAATCAGAATCGCCAGAGGCACCCGATATACTATCAGGAAACCTTACAGACCATGTCGCCCAAATGCGGAGACCAAGAATGGACCTTTGACACGGTCAAGTCAGTTGCCATTGTTCCTGCAAAGAGGCAGACAATCAAGGTCAGACGTCCTTCTGCCATGCTCGGCGCCGAAGAGGGTTTCCGCAAGTTGGATCTCAACGATGGTCCTCTCGGGCCTTCGTCACCCGCACCCGGAACTGTCCGAAAAGCTACTGCTCGCAGAACACCATCGCTCGCGCAGGTTTCTGCGATGCACTCTAACGGCTCCGTCAAGGCCAGTCTGCCTCCCAAAAAGCCTCTCCAGCCGGATATGTCCTTTGGAAACTCGGGTTCAACTATGAGACTGTTCCGTCGCGTCCCATCAGACAGCTCCACTGGAGGTCAGCTTGGTCGTCCTGCTTCACCGGACGATGTGTTCTGCGACGAAAATCAGCCACCGTCCACGGCCGCCCCAGTGGTGCCGTTTGGAAAGGAGGCTGTTCTCGGCCGCCGACTGTACACCAAGGCTATCGAACCGACCATGGCCGAACTCCACGCCCAAACATCTGCCATGCAGAAGCGCGAAGCTCTTGGCAAGGTCTCCGATGCCCTTGCAGCCCTCGATGCCATCGATCCCGAAGGTGCTTACCATCTCATGGCGAACCTCATCACGTCCATGGCAAGGGACAACAAGCTTGACGCCGCATTTCTGCGTCAAGCCAGCGTCAAGGCGATGCCCGATGACGGTACTCCGCAAGGCACTGTGGTGATTAAGAATAATACACCGGCCAGCAACGGAACCGCCAACACAGCCTGCAGCCCAACTAAGCTTGTCCTCAGCTCAAACAACCCCCATCTCAGGAGCCACCGACGCCGGCAGGCCGATTCTCCCACTCCTTCCAAACTCAGCGAGAAGAGTTTCGAGAGGGAAAAGTCCATGATTGAAGAGAAGTACCCCGGTGGTGAGGCACGCCCGGGAATGGAGCACTGTAAGCAGCTGGCCGATGTGCTGTACAACCGTTGGTCTGATGGACTTCGCATCCGATGGCCTCAAGTCTAAGCACCCGCAAAGACTGGACGGATCAGACAACAAGGAAAAAAGACAACACACAAAAATACCAACCGAATACCTCTATCTTGCTTCACCAGCAATGTATCAGAACTCCGTGGCATACTTCTCTCTCTCTACGGGGAGGGGGAAGTCAAGCGAGAATAGCGATGATGTTGATTGCTTTTACCATGTCATCAAGTGTCGTGGAGTTTTTTCCATTTTCTATCTCTTTTTCATCTTCTGCTTTTTCTTTCTATTATGTCTTCTATGGAAGAGCGTACGACTTGGATGTATGACAATATGTGCTCTTGGATTTTTTTCTGCATACCGCGAGTGGACGAACTACCGCCGAAATTCAAGGGAGCCGATGTGATGGGGAATATGGACGAGGTTACCACATACACATGGATGTTGGCGGCATTTACCATTGACAGGGGGATATTTGACCTGGCTAATACGGTAATGAATACCGTGCCGGGGTGATGTCCCTAATCTCATTTCGGACCTGCTTCTCTGGAGAGGATCTGCCGACTCTACGGGACAAAACGGCGTTTTAGGGAATAAATATGGGATTTCTTTTTTAACTCTCTAAGCAAATAGCTATATAGTGAGCCACGAAGTGGTGAGGATTTGAATTGGTCAATTAATAAAACACGACTATACACGGATTACATCCAAAGACCCTTTGTGTGCTACGATTGCTGTGAAACAAAACTACACTTTCATATTGATTGCGCACTTCCTGCCCCAAGCGACAGTTTAATGCGCCAATCTTTGAACTCGTCGGAGAGTATATCGCCGTGCCCAGTCTCCTCCACCTTGTACACTTCAATCATCGGTGACCTGGGCTGCCGCCTGATGCGCCAGACGCCTTCGTCATTGATAGTCTGCGTGAGGACTGCCCATTGTCAGCACCGAAAACTTTCGAGGAAAATTCAATAAAAACCAGCATCAGGAACACTCACACTCTAGAAACGCGGCCGCGAAATTAACGCACATGTCGGCGTTCCAGGACGGGTTCGGCCCCGCGTTGACCGTCTCGGGGATCCGCTGCGTCTCAATCTCCTCGAGGTCGAGGAGGATGCCGTCTCGCGAGCGGAAGCCGACGATGATCTTGGGCACGCCGAGTAGGAACGACTGGATCCAGTACTTCATGAGCTTGCGGTGAAACGCCTCGCGGTCGCCGGGCCCGCGGATCTCGGCGCTCGTCTTGAGCTCGACCCAGTTGACCGGGTCGCCGCGCCTCGCGGGCTTGGAGTCCCAGATGGCGTCGACCTCGCCGCCGAGGCAGAGCACGGCCTTGCCAATGCCGGTGCGCACGACGGAGCAGTACTGCGCCTTGTTGTTGACGACGTCGTCCTCGCGGCGCTCGATGAGCGCGCGCTCCGTGTCGCCCCAGGGCGCGGGGATGGTGGCGAGCGTCTCGAACTTGTACCCCCAGAACTGCATGACCTCGAGGGGCGGGCCGTGCCGGCGGCGGCGGTTCTGGCCCTCGTCGCGCCGCGAGGCGACCTTGTACTGGTTGTGCTCCTCGATGAAGACGCAGCCCTGGTAGAGGGTAGCGTTCATCTCGAAGCCGTCCTGGTTGTCGAACGGCGTGGCCATGATCTTGGTCATCATGCCCCGCCAGGTGACGAAGTGCGCGTCAATCTTCTTGCCGGTTTCCTTTTCGTGCGACACGATGGTTGTCAACAGGCTGTCGAGATGCTCGTCCTTGGAGTCGTCAAGCTTCTGAAAGGTGTCGAAGCCTTTGGACAGGTCTGCGGCGAGCTGGGGCGGGTAGTACCATTTTAGGGAAGAGTCGCCGAGTGAGAACTGGTGATTTTCATCGTATGAGAAGCACGCGATTTCCTGCGACGGGCGATGAGCAGGGTGGCGGCGGTACAGGTCGTTGGTCACTGACCTTGGGTCTCCGGACGGGCTGGCTCGAGCCGGCGAAGCGGCCGATTGGCTGCACCGGAAACTGCGCGGTCATGATCTATAAGAGCCTTTTCATCTAGATGAGAGTAGTGTAGCTTTGTCTAAATAGATGCATTAGTGGATGAGTTTGAAAAGATGTTGAGGGCAGGAAGAGTTGGTGATGGATTCCCCACAGAATAGGTGCTGTTGTTTACCGTCCAGAAGAAGCAAGCCTATTGCAGGGCAAAAGCGCAGCATCGCAAGAGGCGTAAGAGCAAGAGGCGTAAGAGCTCGCCAGAGAAAGTTTCATGGCTCATGGAAAATTTTCTCAAACCCCAAAATATTCATATTCACACTATTAGGGGCTAATTATTAAAAATGTTGTTGGCGCGCACTTTTCGGTAGGCAGCTCACATCTTCGTTCCCGTCTGCCTACTAAAAGTTACTAGCCACAATGCACCTGGTAAATGCACCAGCATTGCCAACAACACATGCATGAAGAGCCAAGAGAGTTTCTCTCCAACATAATGACAATCAGCAAAATTTCCTCGGAACCCAAAAGCTCGGTTTCCTTTTGTTGCAACTCTTCACTACGCATCGCCAGTCCCAGGCCAAGTCTGCTCCCAGATCGAACCACGTGATGGTACTTCACCAATTACTCCCGCCCTCACTAGGACTGTTTTGGCTTCCCTGCCTCTTGCATCTACGCAGCAACGCGCCACAATCCGACTTATATCCATCATCCCCGGCTGCACACAACGACGACAGAGGCCCCAAGCCTAATGCCCACGTCAAAAAAACCAGCGCGCACCGGGAAAAAGCCAGCAAAGCAGCCCAAGCAAACCGGGTGGTTCACTATCCGCCGTATCTTGGACGAGAAGCGTGTCGCAAACAGGGTCCAGTATCTCGTCGACTGGGACGACGACGTCAACACCGGAGAGTCGTACGAGCCTACCTGGGCTTGGGTAAGATGCCATATATATAGTCGATAGTCATGCGACTTGTACTGATCACTCTCTAGAGTGCCGACGTAACTGCCCTAGCCAAGGACGACTGGCAGAGGATCAAAGCATCAACCACCGCCGCACCACCTCCACCGACCTCAGAGTCTCTCGCCAGCCAGAATAGCCCCAGCGACCAGTCTCCGCGCCCTGCGAACTTCCGTCAGCTAGAGCGGGCAAAGACGAAAGCGCGAGCTAGATCCTCATCGACTACCTCCGCTGATAGCATCGATGCTGGGCCGGCCCCGAAGCGCCTGCGATACAGTCCCAGCCCTTCCGCGGAACCAGTGCCCTCCATTGTCTCGGCGCATTCTTCCAGTCCCGACGCCGATGTACCCGAAATCGAGAGCCCGACCGACGCCGTAGCTGACTTCTTTGTTGGTATTCCCAAAGCGGCAGACTTTGACCCCACGGACTTCCTCAGCGTGCGCGGATCGCAGTCCGCCAGCTATCCGTCGCAATCACTGAGCGAGCTTGAAGAGCAGGATCAGCGACTTGCCCTTTCTAGTCAAATAAGCTCTCGAACTATTCCAGACTCTCAGGACTTCTCAGGCCAAACACTATCAACTGCATCTCAACTTGTCGATAGCCTTGTCTCATCTAAGACTGAGTCTAGTTGCGTTGTGATTCCGGACTCGCTGGAACGAGCAGAAGACCACATAATCCCAGCAGTGGATGCTGGAAATACCCAAGAGCATATTCCAGAATCCAGCATCCCAGCTGAGGCCAACGCAAACTCCGCCATCCCTTCCCACCAGCAACGCGCAAAGGAGCCGTCTTTCACTGACGTCCCTGCATTTGATACCAGCCCGGATCGTTCAGCTCAGCCTTCGAAATCATCGCAAGCTGCAGCTGGTGGCTTAATCGCAGCAAGCACCCTCGAGTTGCCAGAATTCCTGACCCAAGTTGAAATACTCGAGCCTCCTACTTTTCTCTCCACGTCGACCCCGCAAGAACAACCATCACTACCACCTAGCCCGGCCCCCGAAAGCCCGGCCCTCGAAAGCCCGGATCCGCAACACGGACACCGACCATCGCAGGACGCTCAGGTGGTCTTTCCGCTGCACGACGTCAGCATGGAAGACAATACAGATAGTAACCCAGGCACCCAGCGGTCCGCTGTGGACGAGCTAAAAGACATATTTACTATTAAACCAATGAGCTATTCCGGCGCAGAACCGCAGGATGCTAGCAATCAAGCAACAAGCACTGAGAATGATGTCTCAGGGTTGTCTGAGGCGCCGAGAGAAATGCAGCCAAATTCGCCACCGCCCGTGGGTTCTATCGACTCCAGTCATTGGCATTTGCCTACAGAGGCTGGGGCTGTCAATGAATCAGGCCCAACCGGCACAGCCAGCGGGATCGCTTTCAATACCCAGCCAGATACTCATGCGCAGCTCCTCGTGCCCATCCATACCCATGAAGAGCTGCCTGGCACAATTTCGCCCTCCGATGTCTTACAGTCTGCCGGTGCGGTGCTGGATGCCGACGCCGGCCTAACACTTGGCGCACTCGGAGTGTCCCCTTCGGCTATTTTCGGGAGCTCTGCGGAACCCATACCGGCGGCACAGAAGCCCCCAAGTTCGCCATCATCATCCGCTACCAGCGACGATCCTATACTGATGCAGCATATCATTACGTTGCCGTTCCAAGCAAGCCTGCGGCCAGAGTATGACGCTACTCTGCTCGCCCACAAGAAGCTAGTCGAGAACTTTTCTGAAGTCTTTAGCAACGAAGAGTATGTCGAGCCTGAGCCAAGCCTTGTTGCAAAGATAGATGACCTATTCCTTGCTCTACGCAACCTATGTGACTACCCACAAGATATTATTGGAACAACACTTGAAAACCTTTCGCCGCAGGAGCAGGTGAAATACGCTTGCGATGCCAACCCAAAGTTTTGTTTTGTCTTTGAGCTTTTGAATGGCATAGAGACAAACCATCGCGTTCTTATTATTGTTCAATCCGTTGAACTTATGCGTCTTCTGGCATACGTTACGACAGCTCTGAAGATTGATTGTTCTGCGCGAGCGCTCGAATCATTGAAAAACAGCTCAAATGAGTCTGCGTGTAGTGTGACACTGGCACTGCCCGACGAAGAATTCGATATCGATGAGTTCGAGGTTGTTATTGGCTTTGACCACTCATTTGGTGGTTCCCTGGTAGCCAGAGCGCTATCACCAGCTGGACAAGCAACACGTCCGCCCTTGGTGCTATCGCTGGTAACAACACACTCTATTGAGCATCTCGACCGGCAGCTGCCCGAGGATCTCAGCCCTCTAGAAAGACGCCACGCGCTCTTAGTGAGCATCGTCAATGCTAGAAAGCTTACGAACGATCCGGACCGTGGCTATCCTGAACCGTACCAAATTGCGAGCATCTTCTACGACTATCTCAATGGGGCTATCGAAGGAGTGCTGTGGGAGCCTATTCCAATCCCGGAAGGTGTACTTGATATCTATATGAACTCACAGTCGCAGTCGCAGTCGCAATCGCTGCCAGCGGCCGAGACAGAAGTTAGCCGTAAGCGCAAACTGGATGATGACAACGAAGAAGAGGCCAAAAGGGTGCGCATGATTCCTAAGGCAGTTACAACTAGCAAAGAAGAAGTGCCTCTGCCTGACGATGTGCGCTGGCTTCTTGATTCTGCAGCAGAGGCGAGCAATACACTGCCCGGCGCAGGTGTGTCCATTCAGGTTTCATTGGCAGTCCTCCAGGCGATCGCCGAGAAGGCGTCAGGGCTTGAGCGGCAAGTTTCCGCTAGTGACATGACAGCACAGTACCGAGGAATTATTGAAAACCAGGAGGCGCGAATCAAGGACTACGAGCGAACTGAAGCCAAAACATATCGGGCTTATCGGGCGGCACTTGAGGAGCGCACTGCTTTCGAGAGAGAAAAGAAGAAAGCTGACACTGCGCTCCAATCAGCACAAGAAGCGGCACAAAAAGAGAGCACAAAATTGCAGGCGAAGATTGGAGAGCTAGAAGCAACGGTTTCACGACTTACAACAAGCAGTGATGGTGAGGAGGCCAGCCCTCTGGCAACGTCCGAAAGACTACTCAAGGAGGCTCAGGAACATATCAAGAAGCTCGAGAAGCGTCTGAAAAATGCTACGCAGGATGGCGAATACGCCAAGAACGCGTATCAAGAAGCGTCCAACTCAGCAACCACACTGCAGGTGGAGAATAGGGAACTCAAAGAGCAGAACGAAAAGCTTCGCAGGCTGGGCTCGGACGTCGTGACTAGGGTTCACGAGATTCACAGCGAATCCATGGCCAAGACGTACCTGAAGCAGATTGGCGAGATGAAGGTGCAGATGCGGGAGCGCGAGATGGAGCTGGACCGTGTGCGGGAGGAGCTGCGGCAGGCGAGGACGCGGCGAGAGACGCGGCAGGCAAGCGTACCGCGCAGTCCTCGCATGGGTCTGATGAGCCCCCGCACCGGCCGTCCGTACACGAACCCGGCGAGCCGGGGGACGAGCCCGACGGCCACGACGGAGGGCGCTATGATCGGGGCTCTGCCGGCCGGGAACGGGAACGGGCGATGGAACCACCTCAGGGAGTAATCTCGGCGATGCATTTATAATCAGAAATAGGATATATGGTATTATTTTCTATGGTTCAACGGGTTGGCTCAGCATTCTTTCTAAAATATAGCAATTACTGACTGAAATGTTATGAGTGCGTCTGGAGTTGCAGCTCGGTGACATCACGGCGTGTGACATGGGCGGCAGTGTAATGTGCAGGCTACAAGCGGCGACGTATGAGATTGTGCCAACATATTTGTCTCTTTTATTGTTACAGCCGACTGGGACTCCCAGATTTGCGTGCCTCTCTCAAGTTTCCGCGTTGTATTTCCCACTTCTCGCCGTGCTCTCTCCTCTCGGCCGCAAAAACTAAAAAAAGACAAACCAAAATGTAAAAATGAACAAGTCCTCCCTCCTCCCCTTTCCAGACAACTTTCCGTTCTAAGTATCATATACAATGAGGCACCGCTCTGCTCTCCGCGCGCTCCGTCCTCGGTGGGTGTGATGAGTCTCGAGCCATTACATGCAGTCCTTCGTTCGTAGCGAAAGAATTGAGTTTTTGCTTCTTTTTTCGTTATTGAAATTTGCTGTTTCGCTCGGGTATGTGTGTCATGTTGAGGCGGTTTATTTCTGCTCGGGGTAGAGGTCCTCCTTCAGAGGGACGCCGAGCTCCTCGCGGAGGGGCTTGAGCTCCTGGAGGTATTGCTCGTACTGGCCCTTGGAGTCGACCTTGGCCTTGATGCCTGTATTATCAGGTTGGTTAGCATGTGTCGGGTGCTATCGGATCGTGCGGTATCGTTGGTCGAGAAGCAGCAATGACAGTTCACGGAAGTAGCGACATTGATAAAAAAAAAATAAGTCGACATACCCTCGAAGATGCGGACGGCAGTGGCGAAGTCGTTGACGCGACGGGCGGCCTTGAGAGCAGCGGCGATGACGGAGGGAGAGGGGACAAGATCGTAGGCGAAGGCGTTGTTCAGGTTGCGCTGCGAGAAAAGGAATATTAGCGCCCAATTGATCTTCGATATAGCTCTTTTAATGGGAGCATACCTGGAGCTCGAAAACATCCTGGACGCCGTCGAATTCCTTCTCGAACCTGGTAGATGTCTCGTTAGTAGAAAATTCCGCAAGGGTAAGCTTTCCCCATCATCGGCCTCAGCGCGGCAATCCAAAATCGTTAGGTCCGGTATCAATTGATTGCGAGCTGCGACAGACATGTACATAATTGCACCGCGAATCAATTGACGCTCGTTGTGAGTTGCTTTTAATGTGTTGGCGAGTCGACCCGTGGACAAAACACGCCATCACCATCATCGTCAAATCCCGCGACGAGAAAAAACCCACACCCCACAACTGTCCCTTCCGAACAATGGATTGACAGAACCGCCTCATGATGACGACAGCCAACAAGGAAAACGGCAATCTGAGCTTACCGGGCAGTAAACTCCTCAAAGGTCTCCTCGGCGTGCTCGCTGCGGCGAGGGACCGAGGTGCTGAAGCTGGCGACGGCGGAGCGAGCCATCAGGGGCGTGGCGACGACCGGACGGGCGGCGGAGGCGGCGCGGACAAAAGTCGAGGAGCCGCGGGCGGCGAGGCGAAGGAAGGCGGTGGAAGGCATCGTTGTGGAAATTTTGGGCTGAAAGAGAGGTTTGGCGAGAAGGAATTATGCAACAAAAAAGCTGGAGAAATTGTCGCTCACAGATGTATGTAATTTGCACGACGTGGTAGAGGGAAAGGTTGTTTTGCGGCTGGCATGACTAAGCCAAGACCGGGAATGCGTGTAATAACGGTGCGAATTGAGATGCAAGACTGTGTGGTTACTAGTAAATTGAGTGCAGGGTGCACAGTGTGAAGGATTGGTGGCACTGGCTTGATGACCTACTACTTTTGAGAGCTTGCCATTAGCCCGGTTCCAATTCGTCGCTGGGGTCGGCGAAAAAGCAGGCCACTTTGGATCGGATATGGCTTGATTATATTTGGACGGTGCCGAGGAAGCGCGAGAAGGTCGATGAATACCTAGATATAAATTATAGTTAATGGCGTTGCTTTTTCGATTCTCTTTTTATTTCTGTACTTTATTTATCCATTGATTTTTTCCCCGGCGTGGATTTTCTCGTCTTATTAAAACCTCTCAGTTATAACACGTGTCAGCCTTGCTGATTTAGAGCCTGTCGAATTCAATCTGACGCCATGGCTGATGGTTAAGCTTCGTGGCCATCCAGAATTCAGGGACAACGAGAGAGACAAGAAACAACTGGTTGATCGAAAATGAACAATCGTGTTGCACAAACCCAAATCACGCTAAGCACGGCTCGGCTCCTGGTCCCGACAACTACCAGCACCTTTTCGCCAAACAACGCCAAAGTGTTGTTGACCAACCGAAATTACTGGCTCGACGGCGTCTTTGACAACTGCTTGTTCTTCCTGCACTGCAATTATGGCCATCGGCTGCTCCGGCTAACAACAGTGGACTCGCCCGCGGGCCGCCAATTTCCAGCGCATCCGCCCCGTTTTCAGCAGAGGGCACGTGATCTGCAGGTCTTCTCTGGGTGCCTGCCATTGGCTCTGGCGGTGGCTGGCCCCAGCGAATCACATGCTGACGATGATGAGATGCAATGCAACAGCCCAGAGTTGACGGGCGGTGCAGTGACAAGCACCTCTTGGCAGCAGAGGTGATGAACCGAGCCTCTGTAACCTGGCCCGCCGGCGCGCTGTGTACCTGAATTAGCGCTACAGAAGCCCCCCAACTCTAAAGGCGACGGCAGCGCCCCGTCCAGCGAACGCAAAGCCCACTGTAGGCGTCACCAGCACTGGCTCTCCGCACTCTTGCCAAATTTCCCCTTTTCCATGGCCGGCGCAATGCCATCATAGGCGACTTACTCCCAACTTTTTTTTTTTTTGCCCGCTTGTAGGTTTCCCCCTAGGGACGAGCCCTTTTTCTCCCTCCCTCTTTAGTATTTTCTCTCCACCTCCCCTATCTGAAATCTAATCCTCTTTTCTTTTTCTCCCCCCTTTTCACTTGCGGCTTAATACAAATCAGAAGTGATTTTGGTCGTTGGATCGGTTGCAAGTTGGCACAATTGCGAACCGTCTTGGCTTTTTTTTTATTCTTCTTGTCATTCCTTCTTCTACGATTTACGGCTAGAACTTAAACCCCCCTCGATTACCTCGCAGAGACCCGTCGACATCGGTCGTGTCGCGTCTCGCCAGAACCACGCCCAGCGACAATCTACCTCTTGCTGCTCCTTGAGCGTCGGAAACCGCCCCAAAACCTACACGGTCTGCCGAAGTTAATAATACAACACCACCATCACAATGGCTTCGATCCTGGAACAGATCCCCCTGCCCACCGTGGACCGCCCCTTTGGCGTCCACCTATGGCCCATCTTCGACAAGGCTTGGACCGCTGTTGTCGGCTACCCTACCGCCGACTTCAAGTTTGTGCCTTTCGAGACGCCGATGTCGACCCTCAAGTCGACCTCCATCTTCATTGTCGTCTACTATGCCATCATCTTTGGCGGCCGCGCTCTCATGCGCAACCGTGAGCCCTTCCAGCTCAAGACCCTCTTCCTCATCCACAACTTCTACTTGACCGCTATCAGCGGTATCCTCCTGGTTCTCTTCATCGAGCAGCTCGTTCCCACGGTTGTCCGCGGCGGCGTCTTCCATGCCATCTGCGACCACTCTGGCGGTTGGACCCAACCCCTGGTTGTGCTCTACTACGTATGTCTTTCGCGACAACAAGCCTCGGTATCGCCTGCTAACGTGTTTTGCGCCGCAGTTGAACTACCTCACCAAGTACCTTGAGCTCCTCGACACCGTGTTCCTGTTCCTTAAGAAGAAGCCTCTCAGTGCGTAATTCGTCGTGCTCTGTCGCGCACCCGTCATCGCATGCCTCGTGCTAACATCACATAGCCTTCCTCCACTGCTACCACCACGGCGCCACTGCTCTCCTCTGCTACACCCAGCTCATCGGCTCGACCGCCGTCTCTTGGGTTCCCATCACCCTGAACCTAACCGTCCACGTCGTCATGTACTGGTACTACTTCCAGAGCGCCCGTGGCATCCGCATCTGGTGGAAGGAGTGGGTCACCCGCCTCCAGATCATCCAGTTCATCATTGATCTTGGCTTCGTCTACTTTGCCTCGTACACTTACTTCACCTCGACCTACTTCTCCTGGTTGCCCAACGCTGGCAGCTGCGCCGGCGAGGAGTTTGCCGCGTTCGCCGGTATGGGAATCCTGTCGTCTTACCTGGTGCTCTTCATCTCGTTCTACTTCGCCACGTACAAGAAGGGCAGCAAGCAGACCACGCGCAAGTCTCTGCGCCGCATGTCACAGGCTCCTCTTCCCGACCCCCTCGCTGTTGCCGCTGCCACCAACGGCCACGCCAACGGCAAGACGAACGGTGCTACCTCGACCGGGGCCAAGACCAACGGCGCGACTACCCGCTCCCGCAAGGCTTAGATGCCTCGACTGGAGGGCAGTCTGCCATGAGTCGATGCGGCAAATCTCTTAGCCGTGTCTGAAGAGCAGTGCTTCGGTTGGAAATCATACCGTTGGTGCTGCGGTCGATCGAGATAAGACAGGCAAGCGAGAAAGTAACGGTTTCCTTGTTTTGGACATGGCGATGGTGTTGACCGTTTTTATTACAAAATACGACACAGGAGTTTGGTGGCCAGGTTAAAATCGTCGGGGCTCGGCGAGGTTAATAAGTATCGGTAGACAATGCTTTATGGAAACTTGGGGGAAGAAAAGAGGAAGAAATGAGACGAGAAAAAAAGAGGAGGGCTTTGGGGAGGGCTGAAAGGCGCTGATTACTACATCGTGTAATACTTTTTAGGACTTTCTGTGTACAATTCATCTACGCGGCGCCTTTTAGCTCTGGGTGGGAAGATAGGGATAGACGGCAAAGTTAAAATGTAATACATTGATTGATAATGATGGTGCCTGGTTTGATGAAGTAGTGATGATCGCTTGGTAGCTGTGCGCAGCGCGGGTGCCGGGCCGGGAATGGTTGGGCCGCGACTCCGTCTGTTTGGAGGAGTGACAGACAGCTTGTGTTGCATCTGGGCCGTTGACAAAAAAAGAGAAGGCGGAGAGATGATCCCGTTGGTGCCGAGGAGTCAAGGAACATCGACTGGGGAGGTAGTTCGTTGTGTTGCGTCAGGGCAGGGTTGGCCGAGAGGACGGGCGTGTGACAACGAGTCAAACGGCAGGATGCGGGGCGTATTGGTCGCCCGAGGATTATTTGCCGATGTTTTCTATTTCTTGCTTTTAAACAGGAGATAGAAATAGACACAGTCGCGCCCTCGTATCCCCAAGTTTTGCAGGGAGGCATCACGCCGTGCCCTGCCTTGAATTGGCAGGGAGCCCGCGATGCGTGTCGATCAGGGACAACGAGGGAACCAGGTTTTGATTTCGACACAACGACACCGAAAAAAATTCATGAGAATAATGTAAAGATTAATATACTCGGTCAAAAATTGAATAAAAGTAGTCACGACTCACGTCCATCAAGAACATATTCGCTTCTTAACAAAAAGAGCGAGGTATGCGGGACTTGGCGAGCCCTGGATCTGCAGCCAAGCTATTGGCGGGTCCGGCGGCGCCATCTGTGGATTACAGGGGACTTCCTACTACTAATAGAGGCAAGCTCCAGGGGTGATTACTGGACAGGGCAGGCGACGTTGGTGATGTCGGTGATGAGGCTTGGTGTTTAATTATTAAACAAGACGGAAAATGCAAACAGCGATGAAATGCAGTGCGTTTCTGGCTGGCTCAGAAACCCTCAGGTCACCGGCTGCCCAATAACCCCTCTCGCAGAAGCAGCCTCGCACACCACCATGCATCGCCTCATTGCCTCCCACACCCTCCTCCGCCTAGAATAGCAGCATCAGGAAATTACGAGCATCCTAACAACCACCCAAACAAGCAGACAGAGAAGAAAACTTGCATCCTCATATAGTAGGCATGTGGTATGTGCCCATCGTCACACGCTCTGTGAGGCGCTTACCTTGCGGGTTCATTTGCTAGCAGAAAGCCCACAGCGTAACACCTGGCCCAACCAAGCCGTTATTGATTGGGCTCTGGCCAGAACGCATCAACGTATCTGGGCCGTCCCTTTGCGTCCAATCGTTTCCAAGGCTGATCTTTTAAAACATTGAGCAAGGACGCTCTAATGATATAAAGCTTGTTTGGACTGGCCTCTCCCCTCCCGCATTCCTCCACTTTCTCCCTTTCGCCATACAAGATCCCGAGACTGGACAACTTCCATTCCCCGTTTCCTACGACTAGGTGTTTTTCATTTACGATATTTTTTTACGTCTATTTTGTTTTTATTGTGTTTCCGACTTCACAATTCACCCCGTCCCTTTCAGCTAGCGTTTCTGTTTCGTGTTACAGCCCATCACCCGCCGCCGCCCACAGACAGGCGTACCGTCGATTTTTGTCAGGCTTCTCTCGTCGACCAAATCATTCATCCATACCGACGAACACCCAGCCTCGACTCTGTCTCTCCATTGGCATCGACCACCCCCCCGGCTTCTATTTCTGGCTTGTTTGCGCAAGACCCGCACTGCACATGCCGTCTCAGTCCGGGTACCTAATTAGTTGGTAGCTTGGATTTGAGCTTGCTTGCTTGCTGCTTGCTTGCTTGTTAAGCTCTTACCACCCGACATCCAAAAAGCAAGGCTCAGCCAAGTTGCCTCGCCCACCCCCGCGTTCTCTGCCGCGTCCTCCTCCTTCATCAACTTCCCCTCTCCTGCCAATCAACGCTTGATTCCTGTCGACGGCGGTGACGAATAAATAGACGAGCATTTATCATCACACTCAGATACCATCTTCCTTATCATCATCTTCTTCTTCTTCACCAACACCACCGCATTGGCTCAATTCTCTCCTCTCCCAACCCACACCACCAACCGCCAAGCGCCGGTCCGCTTTCCCCATCCCAACCAACCCTCTCAACCTTAAATTCACCGCCGTCGCCACACAGACATCTTGACGCGCTCACAGACGCCTGAGCCGCGGCGACCATGAGACTTCCCTTTCGCAAAAAGGAGAAGAAGGGCAGCCTCCAGCTCGATGTGCCCCCCGAGTTCCGCCCTGCCGGCGCCGGCCAGCTGCCTCGATTCCCGCCAACCGCCCGGTCAGCTCACGCCCTCGCCCAGCTGCCCGCCACTGTCCTCGCCCGCATCTTCGCCTATGTCTGCCCGCACGCTGGCGATGAGACCTTTGACACTTGTGAGGAGAGCGCCCGCGACGACAACTGCGTCCTCTGCGACCTGCGCGACCTGTCCCACTGCGCCAAGGTCAGCCGTGCCTGGCGCGCGATGGCCATAAAAGTCCTGTGAGTTCTCGTTCCCGCGCATCCAGTCACATCACGAGCGACCGATATGCCTGGTATGCCTGACCCCCAGCCTTCGTCCCACGCTGACACCGCCTCCCAGCTACCACAGCGTCCGCATCGAACCCGTACACTACTGCAAGATGGAGGCCTGGCTCGCCGAGCGCCGAAAGAAGACAGGCCGCTTCGATCGCAACGGCGTCCCCGAGGACACTGCCCAGGTCCGCCTCCGCCTCCTACGCCGCACCGTCCGCGACGATCCCACCCGCATCGGCTGCCTCGTCCAGTACCTCAAGATCCCGTACATGCTCCGCGAGTTCTGCTACGTCGAGCTTGCCCAGACCATCGCCGTTCTCCCCGACCTACACTACGTCGACCTCCCGGAGGGCATGTTCGCCGACGACCCGGCCTACGCCACCCTGCGCCTCGAAGTCCAGGCCCGCTGCTCCAAGCTGCGCAAGATGACCTACGTCGCCGGCGCCGAGCGTAGTTTCGCCGCCCTCGCCACCGGCCAAGTCTGGCCACGCCTCCAGGTCCTCGAGCTCAACCGCCTCAACGTCGACCCCGCCACCATGCGCAACGTCCTCGGCTGCCTCGTCAACCTCCGTGCCCTCAAAGTCAGCCAGACCGACAGCCTGTCCGACGAGGTGCTGCTGTCCGCCGAAGGTCTCCCCGCTCTACCTCCCCTTGAGGAGCTCGTCCTCAAAGATACCCCGCGCGTCACCGCCGCAGGCCTCGTCGAATATCTCGCCTGGCTTGAGACGCAGCAGGCCCTTAAAGTCCTGACCCTCAAGGACACGGGCGTCCAGCCCGCCCAACTCACCGATGTCCTGACCATGGCCACCTCCCTGCGTACCCTTGCGCTGCAGACCAAGGTCTCGGAGCCCCTGCCCCACGGCGGCTCCGGACTCGCGCCTCTCGCCTCTCAGTCCCTGCGTACCCTGCGCTTCGAGGTCTCCGGCCGCACATCGTCCGCCCAGGACGCCAGCGCCGCCAACTCCCACTACGCTTACCTCGCGCAGTCCATCCTCTCCGGGGACCTGCCCCGCCTCCGCAAACTCTACGTCCACGACGAGTCCTTCCCCGATAAGCTGCAGTCCGCTCTGCCCGCCCCCGGCGGCGTCTTCACCGGCGGCGGCGGCCCTCGTCACCGACAGCAGAGCTCCTCGCTGTCCTCGACCCGCGGCGCGCCCCCCGCCCTGCGCGTCTCCCCCGGCGGCAGCCCACCCGGCGCCGGCGCCGGCAACGGCCTGGCAAGCCCCAAGTTCAGCGGGCCCATGGCCAGCCCCGTCGGCAGTCCTCGCGGCGTCCCCCGCTCCTTGGGTACCGCCGCCGCCGGCCAGGCCGCCTCCCAGAACCGCCTGAGCTCCAACAACCCTTTTGCGCCGCCGCCGCAGCAGGCCGCGCGCCGCGCGCCCATCCAGACCCTCGAGATCTTCATCAAGAGCGACGAGTTTGGCCAGTGGAACTTTGCCCGCGTCGACACCATCCACTCTCGTCGCTCACCGCAGCCCGGCGGCGGCGGCGGCGGCGGCGGCGGCGGCGGTGCCCGCCCGGAGAGCCACTACGGACTCGCGGCGGACATCCAGGGCCACGACTGGGACAACGGCGGCTCGCGCCGCAGCGTCCTGGTCGGCAACGCCGAGGGCGGCTTCCTCGCCCTCCCGGGCCCGGTGCCATTTGCTCCACCGCCCGACCTACCCGCCCTCGCCAACGACGACTACCGACCGCGCAGCAGCGGCGGCCTCAGCTTCTCGCGGCTGCGGCGCTGACACCGCAACATATATCTCTTTCTTTTTCAAAGCATTCATTCTGCATATGGGGGGGGGGGATGTCTCTAGGACTTTCAAGTGGCCATATTTTCTTTTTCACCTTGATAAAATTTGTTGTTTGCATGGCATGTGAGATACCTTTGTTTCTTTTCTTTTCTTACGTTACCCAGAGGAGGACGAAAGCCGTCTGCAATTTTTTTTTTTTTTTTTTTTTTTTGCAAAACGAGACAAAAAAAGGGCAAGGAACAAACAAGAATGTAATGAGGAGTAGTGAGGGATAAGCGCACACGATTTGGGAGTCTTGGGAATGGCGATGACCTCTGTTTATTATAATGTGGTTTCTATAGCTCAAAATCGAAATCCTACCTACCCTTCTGTAATCATTAAATCGTCCCCTGTATCGGGTCGTGCTGATGGCGACGTTCTGTGTGGTATCATGATTCGTTGCAAAAACCCCTGGCATCCTGTGAATAAAGCAAGCAAACACCCGACAACAACTTTAACGGTCCCTTACTCCGCGGTCATACCCCCCTTGGTCATCGCCGTCGTCTATATTTACAAGTCGCAATAGTGGTATTACATCGGAGGAAACCCCAACGACCGCAGCAGGTCGCGCAACAAGTCGGCACGCTGGCTCGTCTCCCATGTCTCCTGCTGCTCGCCGAGGGCGCTCCAGTTCCAGGGCTGCTCCAACATGGTGCTTCCCTCCCACGCTCCGAGCTGATTCACCCAAGCGCGCGATTTGTAATATGTAACCGCGGAGTTGCCGTCACAGTCGAGCGCGCTCGGATTCGCCCTATTCTGGAGCAGCCACTTCATGGCTTCCGTGGCTGCTCCGAAGTCGGGGTTTTGGGCCGCCGCGATGAGCGGCGTCTCACGTCGATGATTCAAGGCGTTGATGTCAGCGCCTTTCTCTAGCAGCATCAAGGCAAAGTCTTTCTGCCAGTGCTCCCATTTGTGCCGGGCCGCCTTGTGCAGGACGGTGTCACCGACGGAATCCGTGGCGGTGACGTCTGCACCTCGGTCGATTAGAATTTTTGCCACGTGGTTGCCATCCGAGGGCAGACCGGCGATAATGTGCAGAGCTGTCTCGCCCATTTCTGTTTTTTCATTGACGTCGACACCACCTTCGAGGAGCAGACGGACCTCGTTTGCGAGGAGTAAACTTGTTGCCAGGTGCAGCACCGCTGCGCCCTTCTCGGAGACCAGATAGTGACGGTTATGGCTCGCAGCCGCGACGAGCACGGCAGCCGTCTCGGACGAGCCCGTCTCCTGGATAATGCGGCGGATCTTCGCCGCTTTCTTTATCAGTGCATCGATATCGAGCACGGCATTGGTCGGCTGCAGTAAACAGGCGCGGAGGACGTCCGCCCGTCCATTTCGCAGCGCCTTCCACAGCACTTTATCTTTCCAGAAATCCGGTGTCATCACGCCAGTGCGGTACATGAACCCCATCACTCTGGCGGTGTCGTTCATATTGTCGTTTGAATCCAGACGCGCCATGATGAATTCACGGAGCGTCCGGTGTGCTTGGGCCAGCAGGCTCCTATTGGCGGTTGCTCTGCCGCCGTCGACGGCGTTCACGTCAAGACCGTGAAGAAGGAGCTGGCAAAACAGCGTGCCGCGATCATGCTGCAGTGCCACGCAAAACAAATGACGGTGGATGCGCTGAGCCAATTCCGGCTGCTGACACCGGTGCACAAGGTGCTTCACGAGCGCGTCGTCTCTATTCTGGATGGCGAGGCGGAGGACGGCTACCAGCAATGAGTCCGTCATATCCAAAATAGGCAGTGTGCCCTCAAAGATGGATGCCAAGCTGTTTTGCGAGACGGAGGCATACAAGAAGCCACAGTCATGGCAGGCAACTGCAGGGACCCGCGTGCTGTGCTCAGCCGCTAGCAAGAGGAACGCTCTGCGTTGGAAGCACTCCAGATTCACTTCGAATTCGTGCGATCGGAACGCCTCGAAGACTTCCAGGTCGTCTGGTGCAAGTATGAGCGGTACTCGAGTCGTTCCGCTTGCTATTGTCCAGGTCGGAAAATTGTCCGTGTTCGGTGCAGTCGAGGGAGAGCCAGGGTGCCGTCTCTCTTCGCTTTGAGAGTTCGGAGGAGGAGGTGTGCGGCAAACCAGCCAATCCGGGATCATTCCTATTGTGTTGCGACGCGATTTTGTCAGTGATTTCCTTTGCTCTGCTGTGGCCGCCCTTCTCATCACCATAAAACAAGTACGAGAAGTACGAGAAGTACCGACTTACCTGGTGGCGCGCTCGCCGGGTTGCCATATGTTCTAATGAACCTGGCAATCTTTTCCTCGGACACTCGTTGATTATCCACGAAGAACTCTGTTTCTTTGCCCTCCATTCTCCTGCGCCAGTTCATAATCTGGACAATTTTGCGCTTTTCATCTCGACCCAAGTACTTCATAAATTCCCACTTCCTGAACTTGCTCCGATAATGGTCGATGCTGCCGCATCCAAACAAGGTCAAAACGTACGTCGACGATAATGGATGGATGCGTGCTTCTTGCTCACCTGGCATGAAAGTTGTGCTGCAGCTTCATGATCTCTACGATTTCGCGGGCGGTTTTCTTTTCCTCTATGTACAGCCTTTTGAGGATCAATTTCTTGCTATTCCACTCCTGCTGACTAGGCTGCGGAGTAGACTGCAGCGGAGCGATGGCGATGTGGTTGGGGCTGTCGACTGCTAGTGACGTAGCCACTACCTCTTGAGAACTTTCGTCTGGAGGAAGTTCGTGAGAGGTTGTGGCAAAATCACTGAGAAAAAAGTCGCCATCGCTTGTTGCCCAGCCCTCGCGTAGAAGATCGGTAAAGGGGCCTTGTACAAGGCCGGCATCGGTTATTGGCCCGTTTGGGACAGGCTCGGTCGTGTGATTGTCGGTTGTTGTTGCCGATGTGGGAAATGATGCCGCATAAGAGGCGTGATCATCATAATTCTGTTGGTGCAAGGCATGAATTGAGACGCGGTAAGCTGCGTACGGATCTGGGAGCTCCGGGCCTTCTCCGCCGTTGGCGTCAACAGGCAAGAGCTGGTGAGTGGTCGAGTCCATTTCCGAGCGGGTATTGGCTTGCAGAGTCGGTATTCGTTGTTTTTTTCTTTCCCTCCCTGTTTCTCACCTTGTATAACAGACAAGAAAAGATTGAGAAGAGGTGAGTTGGCCGGTAGCCGGGTGCTTTATACCTCTATATGTATTAACTACCCTCCGTCTAATCTCGATTGCCCAACCCTGACTTTGGGTAGGGATACCGGGAAATTTTGGCACGCCCTAAAAATGTACCTTCGAATTCTCCTACCAATTATCCCTGTCCGGTGCTGGTTGTCCTGCATTAGTTGCACCCCATTCGGTCCCTGTCCCGCATAATGCGTGTTGACGGCTGCTTAGATCGCATGTCCGTCTCGAATTTGCGCATATACGGTTATTCGACCTTTATTAATTAGATCCCTACACCATTAGATATTATTCTCATTGGTGACCGCAGCATGCAGCTCAGAGACAGCGGGGGCAGTGCAGTCTTTGGCGCCTCTCTGTCTCGTCGGGATTTGAAAAGCACCGAAGATGATTTGTTTTCTTAGCTGCTCTGCCACACTGGTTATGCCTTGGCATTTCGCGTCAAAGTTGTAACATGGTGCCGAAAGACAAGAGTTCTCAGATATCTGAGCAGACCGCTCATTACTTACAGTCCAACGTAACAGTGTCAGCTCCATCTACGCCGACTCCGAGCTGCCAGCTGCAGGGGAGGGGTCTGTCTGTCCAGTGAGGCTCCAGAAGACTCTCTAGTGATGCTGAGGTACCACGAATCAGCAGTCACCGAGCATTCGCCAACGTCGAGCCTGCACAACGGTGTTATTGGCCTGCATTGTCCCCAACAACAAACCAAATTTGCATGAAGATCCGCCGCCAGGATGCTCCCCTTGGCAGCCCATCCACTATGCACAGGAGCAGTTCGAACACCACTGAACCTTGCTGTCCGTACCGTCCACTCAAGACAGAGCCCAGCCGGCTTTTCTTCATACCCCCCCGGTAGGAACCCCATCCCATGTTCATCCATGCCGGCTCGCTTACTTCGTACCTACACTGCTGAACTTGGCCACCATCCCCCTTACCCCTCCTTTGACAAGCTACCCCCATCCCTCGCTGACCACCATTTTGCCTTGATTGGTGTCTCTCGACTCCCAACCATCGCAGCTGCTTCCTCCGGCGGTCTGGACCCAGACTGCCTATTCATCTCGCTGGACTCGGGCTGTCGATTCATCTCGCATGGACTCTGGCTGCCTACTTATTTGGTCTGGATTCTCGCTGCCGATACATCTGGTCTGGACTCTGGGCAAACGCAGTCTGGACTCCGGGCAAACGCAGTCTGGACTCTGGGCAAACGATTCTTTCAGTCTGGACTCCCGGGCGGCGCTTCCCAGCGACACTCTTCATCAAGTCCTTTTGACTGACGTGGCATGCCGCGACCACGACACGCTTTCTGCTCGACGCTCCTAGATGGGCGGCTTCCCACAGCAGCAACAGCCAGCACTCCCTCCTGGTCCAGCTGACAGACGTTGCGCTCCACGCTAATAAAAGGTAGGATTTGTATGCCGCAGAATGGACTTCCCCGGGATTAATAAAAGGTGAAACACGGGGTTTGACGAAATCTTGTTTTTTAATACTTGTGGCTGGACACATGTCAGTGGTCTATCAACACATGTCAGTGGTCTATCAACACATGTCAAGTTATACAGTTATGTCAGCAGCTATGTCAGCATGCCAGCCCCCAAGCGGAACGGCATCCGCGAGCGAAGCATTGTTCGCAGAGCGAAGGGTCTTGCTCCTTACACATTCACCGCTATTCTTGTGTAACGCGACCTATCCCATGCGGTTGCCACACCACTTTCGTGGTTCTGAAACTATCGAGTGTGCCCTGGCAGCCCCCAGGGCACCCGCACGCCTGTGTCGCTCATGCACATGGCTGCATGCGCTGATTCGTGCCCTCTCCTGCTATCGTTGCTGTGACTAATATCCGTACAAACAGATCCCAGAAACGGTGCGCCCTAGATGAACCTTGGCCGCGGCATTCTGGAAAGCCTGGAGCAGCGGGCAGTGGGGACTGCACTCGCCCCTTGCAGACCTGTGATTGCCGAAATGGAATTCGCTTTGAGGTAGCCACTCTGTTGACTAGAACAGCGACTTCCGTAATAACCAAAAGGCAATCCTTTAGACTGACAGACTGACAGACTGACAAACTGACATGACAGACTGACAGCAGGCAACCTCCCACCCGCGGCGGCCACCACCACCCCTTACCCTCAATCAAACGCTTGACAGTTGAACAACTAGAAAAATAGTACCCGCTAAATTAATCCGTACACCTTAATTCGTAATCGACGCCATTCCGACCGATCGAAACGGGGCTCCTAGTCGCTGAAGCCCCCGATTAGGAAGGACATTTACCCTGTCACAGCCCAAGACACAGCCCACTTAAATGAAATCTTGACCGTCGCGTCGTCCGAAGTGCTGTCTAAACCTTGGCCAACGGAATATTCCCCGGCCGAAGATCAACGCAAGACCAAACCTCCAACCGTCAGTGTGTCCGAAGCAAACACCGCCAAGCAACAGGCACTCGGCACATGAGAGTCGGGGTTTGCCGATACTCAGCACGAGTCAGCCTAACCGTGATGGCCGCCATTGACCAACAAGCTTGCTGCAGCTACCTGTGGGCGCTTTCCCTCGTCTGGTGAAACACTGGCTCTTTTGTAAATACGAACAGCATCACTCAGTATCACTAGCAACGACCACCCGCTGCAGTCGCTGGATGACGCGCCAACTCCACACTCATACCAAGGCACGCATTTTTTTAGAGGTGACAAGAGCAAAGTCGTGTAGCCCCGCTTCTTGAATTGGAAAAATGATCATGACAGCGGTACCTGGGTGTGTTACGTCGCACGCAACCTTCGCAGTAGGGATATAGGGTAACCAGCCGCCGACACCGGGAATATCATCGTCATACAGTTATTCCCGTCATGCTGCGAAGTAGACCGGGATGGCTGACGGCGCACCACCGAAAGCTACACGACATTTGCTTCCTCGGAAGAAAAACTCCACCTCACCAAGTGGAGACCACCTCACCAACTAGAGACCGAATGTACTGTATTCATGCCGTTTCCAAGTTTCTTTTCGCTCCCAAGAAGATATCGGCCCCATCACCGGTTATCACGTGATGTCGGCGAGAAGACCGAATTTCCGATGCCGGCTTAGCTTACTAACTGACTCACCACGCCACTTTGGTTGTTCACTTACAAGTACAAAGAAGGTTGTGAGGAGAGCTTTTTTGAGCTCCATTCTCAACATCGCAAACGGCAGCTCTTTTTCCTTTTTTTTTGTTGCATACACCACATCACCAACATCATGGCGACTGTCATTCACCTGAGATCCGAGACCAAGCCCTTTGAGAGGCGCTCTCCCCGTACGTGCTATTTTTTCTGGAACACCACCGGTTCTCACCCGCTAACATGCTCGTTACAGTGTCGCCTCAGACGGCCAAGGCGCTCATCGACGCCGGCTACGTCCTGCGGGTGGAGGAGTCGACGGACCGCATCTACAAGGACGACGAGTTTAAGGCCGTCGGCGCCGAGATCATCCCCGCCGGCTCCTGGGTCAACGCGCCGCTTGACCACATCATCCTGGGCCTGAAGGAGCTTCCTACTGACGGCTGTACGTATCCACCCCCAATGGCATAGTGTTGTCGCTGTTATTATTTAAAAAAAAAGCGTTGAAATAGAAGCTCCTTTTACTGACACGGAAACACGCTTAGCGCCTCTGCCGCACACCTTCATCCACTTCCACCACTGCTTCAAGAAGCAGGACGGCTGGGCCACCGAGCTCTCCCGCTTCGCCAAGGCCGGCGGCCTTCTGTACGACCTCGAGTTCCTCGTCAACGAGCGCGGCCAGCGCGTCGCCGCATTTGGCTGGAGCGCCGGCTTCGCCGGCACCGCCCTCGCCCTGCTCTCCTGGTCGCACCAGCTCCTCCACCCCGGCGTGCCGCAGCCCGCCGTCCCCGCCTTCGACTCCGCCGCCGACCTCATGGCGCTCGTGCGGTCCTCCCTCGCCGAGGCGCTGCCCCTCAACGGCGGCGCCCACCCGCGCCTCATGATCATCGGCGCCCTCGGCCGCTGCGGCTCCGGCGCGGCCGCCGCCTGCGAGGCCGCCGGCATCCCGGAAGCGTCGCTCATCAAGTGGGATCTAGCGGAGACGGCCCGCGGTGGGCCGTTCGAGGAGATCACCGCTGCGGACGTCCTGGTCAACTGCGTGTACCTGGGCGCGCACCGCGTGCCGCCGTTCACCACGCTGGAGACGCTGTCGACCAAGGAGCGCCGCCTGCGCGTCATCTGCGACGTCAGCTGCGACCCCAACAGCGAGAACAACCCGATCCCCGTGTACGCGGGCTACAGCTCGTTCGACAGCCCGACGGTAGCGCCCAAGGCCCCGCTCGAGGGGCCGGAGCTGCGCGTCATCGCCATCGACCACCTGCCGACTATGATCGCGCGCGAGGCCAGCGACGAGTACTCGGGACTACTGCTGCCGAGCCTGCTCGAGGTCAAGGACCGCCACACCGCGGGCGTGTGGACGCGCGCGGAGAAGACGTTCCGGGACCGCGTTGCCGAGCTGCCTTAGACGGGGCACGGAAATGAAGTGGCCTCTCGATGAGGTTTGATATCACGAACTAGAATGAAAAGTATAATGAATGGAATGCATTTTCCCGAATCCTCTCTCCCGTGTTTCCGTGCCGAGCAGTGGCTCCTGCAAGCCACAACTCCTGTGATGACCGTGTCTGGCCTTGTGATGAGTACCCTGCCAGTCATCAAGAACGTGGCATGCAAAAGCTGAACCAATCTATTAAGAGTATGCGTCTACAATATCTATTCCCGAGACTCTAGAGTTTCTCTGAAATGACGCCTTTACTCAACAAGGAGTATGAATGCTGCGGAGCGTTAGTATCGGAGCAGCACTTGGGGAATCCATGAGTAGCTGACAAAAGAGCCGTACAATCCAGTGATGGAAGTACCCGGGGCAACCAAAAGCTTACGCATCTCCATGTTTTTCTCTTTGAGACCGACAGCCGCCTGTCTGCCCCAATTTGTCGTAATCTGAGCCCGAATTTTCCTGTTAGCACCTTCTAATCCTCTACCGTCTCGACGATGAGGCGTCTCAGACTCACCTCAAGATATTCCGCAAGTTCGTCGGGATTCTCCTCATGGAGCGGGAACCTTCTGACACCGACTGCCATGGAGCAGATGTGCTCGCCGGCCGCGCCGTCAGTGGGGAAGTGCCACGGGTCATGGGTCTTGCGGGAGTAGCCCAGGGTCATCGGGGCTCTGTCGAGCTGCTTGTCGTCATCCGCGTCGTCGTACCGGAATTGGAAGTGTAGGGATAAGTTCGCGAAGCACTGGTCCAGACCTCGCACAACACAGACAGTCTTTGTCCTCGGTCACCGGCAAAGCATATCCAGGAAAGCGGTTTGTAGTTGGTGTCGCGAGGACTTGGACTACAAAAGGAGTCTTCGTTGAGGAAGAGACTGTCTGGCGGCGGACTGGGGTACCAAAGTGCTGTGTCTCTCATGCTATCTGACTGTGGGAGTGGATTTCCTGCCTTTTCCTGTCTGAGTATAGACATGGCGGTGATTTTGTATGCCTATCGAATTGTGTTAGTACCGCGATAGTACAGATCACAGGTTATCTGAATACCAACATCAAGCGTTACCCGAAGGCACATGATTTGCTCGTCGGTCACAAGGAGCTAAGATCTCGGGACTCCTTCGATTCGCCCGGCCCACTGGCTTGCTTTTCGGCCAGGACCAATGACTTACAGAGCTCTGACACCGTGGGGGCCCACCGCTACTATGAATCCGTGAAGTGAAGCGACATGGACGAACTGTTCTCTCTTTTCTTCGTCCTTTCCGAATAAATAGCCCGCAATTTGGGTCTGTACATCCTGGCCAGTAAGCCGGATGCCCGTCACATAGTCCCAGATGCCAGTGTTGATGACACCGATGCCGACATGGGCGGCACCGGCTGGGACTCGAATTTCTACAGTTCTAGTTGGATATGCGGAATTAGGCAGTGGAGGTGCTAAAAATAGAGGGCCTGTGCCAGGATCTCTGCAACGGAGTAATCGCCACCCTTGTGAGGGCAGAACATCCCTGGGTGAGCTTCTCCTCAAGTTGCTCAGTGATGGCTGTTGAATGAGGGGAAGAAGTCTTTGCGCCAGACGCCAGATTCGTTCTCGATTCAAAAAAACTGGGCTTGCGACCAACTTTTTCCCGAGCTGATAAACGCTCTGAAAACCCTGAAATCATTGTACCTGATAAGATCCCCGAACCCGAACAGAGAGCCCCCTCTCCGGGTCGTAACAAAATCGTGGCTGCCAAAAACAGACGTCGGAGAATAAAAACAGGAAGCTCGGGGATACCATGCAGAGACTCAATGCATCTTTTGCGGAACTAAGCACGGCGATTATCAGACGCAGTTCCTCCGGTAGGACAGAGAAGCAGTCCCTCTTCTGAGTTGGGGTTTTGTTTGGTGTCGGGGCGTTCTCCCTTGTTGGCGGCCAGTTGAGTGGCGTATTTGGAATCTCTGGGCCTTTCAAAGGATCCGCGAGCGCCCCAATATCATCCAAATGGTCATCATCAGAAGCTTCAAACCTCCCATCCCAGACAGGAAACTCGATCGGCTCGCGTCTGAGCACTCCCTCGTAATCGTGCCCCCAACCCACCCCGGGGTTCCTCCCCCAACGTGATAATGGCGAGGACCTGCACACTTGCAATAGTCGTTCCAGCGAGATGGAGTCGCTGCCAGGAACTTTTTTCAACAGGCTCCAGCAGGTATCGTGGAAAGCGAAGCTAATGTTGTGAACGGCATCTCCCTCCATCATGATGTGGAGTTGAAGAAAACCATCGTCTGGTACTTCATCCCATCGCAGCTCCGGGTCTTCTGGAACTCTATTCGTGGGATAACGCTTTTCGTTCAGTCCAACACCGCTGATGCAGGCATCGCCATTGGAGCCGTACACTAGTTGGACTATGAGCATACATCTGAGTGTGTATTCATGCATTGTAGAAGCTTACTGGCCCGATATTGACTGGTCCAATGTTGCGAGTCAGAGTCAGTCCGCTCTGTGACCGAGACACCACACAGGACGCAGTGGTACAACATCGCGAGTGTCTCGGTAGGCTCGGTCTGTTGATGCAAAAGGGTATTAGAGATAGTTCTCGTGTTTTTGGCGAGGGCTCTTGGCTGTTCAAGTCAGTTGCTTGCATATTGTAAAATGGATTTGTTTGATTGCTAAGTTAAGGCACTGGGAGTAGTTTGTTGTAGAATGTTGCCTAACTGTGATGCTTTGGTTTAATGCGGTCACTTATGTGACGTGTTTTGGTGGGAGGGCCCCCCTCCCTCAACTCTTACGTCATTATCCGAATCTCTCTCTAGAGTCTCTTCGAAATGGAAGAAACTCGTGTGTATCGTGAATGTGAGCTCACAACGCCGTGACCGAGCTTCACCTTGGCCACTTCATTCGCCCTACAAGGCAGCAGCGACCAGTGAGCAGAGATGACCCTGTCCCTGCCCATCCTTCGTCTTTTCTTCGGCACAAGAAGGTGAGAAGCACCGGTGTCAGAAGCCATGTAACCTAAATTTATTGGGCAACAAAAAATGTCTTGGAGCGGACCGAGGTTGCAAGTAACGTCCCCGGTAAAAAGCAAGACACGGAGCAACCATCTAGAAGCAACTAACGTGGGACGCGCTGAGAGAAAGAGAGCTTAATTCTTTTTCGGGTATTGGTGTTTCAACACGGTCGTTGGCATGCAATAGAAAAATCTTGGGCGGCTACGCTTGCTTTGATACGAAGAGGACGCGACGTGGGATGGGCGGCTACGGAGGAGAAAAGTCGCTCGAGAGTACATAAACAATGCGCAACTAACGCGAATTGATAAAAAAAGAAAAGAAAGGAAAACAACTCGTAATTGTGTGCAATGGAAAGAAAGTATATTTGTAGAACGTGTCATTGTTCGCCG